AGTAGTGTAGATTAAATGTTTTTACCAGAAAATGTATTTGTTTCAACAGAATTACTAAATTCTAGATATTACAGAAGTAATGGGAGCAGAAAATGCATCAAATCTAGACGAAAATCCTTCGCAACCAAATTTACCGGTTGAAAATAGACAAAATACAAATTTTGAGAAAGCGGAAATCGTATCAAGAGAGACTGAAGACAAACGAGATGACGTTTCTGTATTAGGCTTCAAGCAAAGACTACCGAATATTGGGAATACAAGAGGCCGTTACAGACGGCGGAATCAATAAAATGCCAAAACCACTGTGGCAAATTTATTAAGCACCGTATAGTTTACCAGTTTGTACATACAAGATAGAAAATATTACATTGTGGTGAAATTCCGCTCCGGTGTTTGCTTACAAAGGCTTTATGGGTGGTTTAGGTTAGAACGGTGAAAATCCAGCGCACGTTAAAGTTTGCGTACAATTTAATAGTTTGTTATCAAACCTATTTAACCCGGAAACATGTTGGACAAATCAATCACACGTTTGAATTAGGACATAGGTTGTTTAAGAATACGACCCAAAAAGCCAAAGCCATTTGATAACAGTACATTCTCCATTGCTGTAGAATGAAAGTTTCGATATATAAAATTCAGTCTTATTTATTTAGTTAATTTCCAAGTTGACAAAGCAATACATTTTTCAATGCAAATATTTCCATAAAGAAATATATATTTTTTTACATTTGGACATTAGATGAGTCGGTGCCAACAGATTCTACCTACATATTACCACAAATCGATTTATAAACAATACACTATTCTTTTTTCGACTTAATTCTTTTAAAAATTGGAACCAAACTTTTTGAAGCGTTGATTATATGCTAATCTGCAGAATTATTACTCATATATTGGTGCGCTATTACTATAGTTTATTATGGATTCGGTCCAACTACATTTTTCAATTCAAGGATTTTATATTTGGCAGTCTTAGGATATATACAGGACTTAGGATATTACATCGACCTAATTCAGATGACCATGTCAGTTTTGTCATTTAACATATTTTATTATTTTTTGAAACGTTTGCAGCATATTGGTCAATATGTGGGAACGGCCTTATACATGAACCTGATGGTACGGCATTTTCTCAACAAAAATTTAAAAAAATGCAGCAATTGTTTTTAATTTAAATTATGGTTTTTGTGAAAAAATCGCTTGAAATGAAAATGAAATGAAAAAAACGTTATTCCCTAAACTCCCTATTGTCTGCACATTTTTTTAAATTGTTTTATTAGCTACATTGCTATCTGTCCGCTTAGTGTTTAGGGTGCTTGGAATTTTGAAAGTCAGTAAAGATTCAATGAAAGTATTTTTTTATTCGTTTATGTCTGCAGTTTTTCAATCTAGCAGTTTTATGTTTTTTACAATAGTCGTGGAATTTCAAAGTAAAATATATATGCAACATAGTTTATGATGACAAACTATTAAATTCTTAAATATTTTCAAATAATTTCAATTGTTGAAATCTGTTGACTAGCGGCCAATGTTAAATTTAAAATGTGTTATATAAGTTAGAAATTACAAATTAAGTAATAAACAATTTGAATGGACGTCTGTTTGTTCAGTTTTGAATAGCATATTATGTAATTTTTTATACTTGTTATTTCTCATATTGTTTGTGTCGTATTTGTTGATGTGTTAGTGTAGTGATTTGCAGTTGTAAAAGTTTCTTCTAATTGTAAAAACAGAAGACCGTAGTGTGGAAAAGGAATAATTATTTTCAACACTTCAAATATAGGGAATAAAATATATTTATTAAATATTTCTTTAATTTTTTCAAAATTCATTCATCACAAATATAAGTTTGCCTCACTGAGTCTTTGACTTATTTTTCGTTTTTCCTGTTGTGTTCCTGGCTAGTTTAATGATAATTATCAAAACCGCAATCGGCGCCCCAATAAGAACGGCAAATACATCAAATAGCAAATATTTATACCATTCGATATCTACGGTAGGACTCTTCAAGTGTTTTGTGCCTTTGTGCCTAATAACATATTCTGCCCACCAAACCGCCTTTTGTATGCCTGTCCATGGTTCATCCTGCATCAATCGTCGCAAGCCCTGCATCTTTTCCCTGTAACTGCAACCAAATTCATAACACATTTCCAGTAACAAAACACAATACTCACGAAGGATTTTCAGCTACATCGATAATAGTTTCGACTAACTCTTCTTTGGTTGTGTTTAGGTAATCAATATGTCGAAGAACGCCCCATGCAGCTAATCGCTTGCTGTTCATTTCCTGATCTGCTATAAATGGGATACCCACCATGGGTATCTCTCGGTCGATTGCTTCTTCAGTAGATTGAAGACCGCATTGGCTTATGAAGACTTTCACATTTGGATGAGCTGCAAAGATATAGTGAATTCGCGGTTTCTATTGTCATACTAATTCGACTACCCAGAATGTCTTGTTGGGGTAACCATTTTCTTATAACGACATTTTTCGGTTTTCCCAATAGCTCTTCGTTCTCAAATTTCCATAGAACTTTGTAGGGCAACTCGGCGAATGCTTTCATGAGCAGAGAACGTATTTTTTCGGGAATATTTACGCTTTTTACATTCGAACCCAAGCTGAAGTACACTACACCATTTTGGGGCGATTCTAATTCAGTTGCAATATCCTGAAAATCAGAGCAAGTCGGCATGTGGCGTCATATTTTACTGTATCAGCCAAACCTCTGGTAGTTCTTTTGGTGGTTGAATATGCATAAAACTCAAGGGAACAACAGTAGGCACCATAGGCCTAGGAGTGTAAAGAATAGGGTTGATATTCAGAAAAAGAGCGCTCACATTCCGTTCAATGTCGGCCAAATAAGGTAGATCTTGGCCTAGATATTTACGCATTATTGCGTCCCATTTTGGCATCGCTATAAAGTAGACGTATAATCTGGACCATATGTAATAAAGAGTGCTTTTGATTCTTTCGACAAATCTGGAAATGGACATTGATTAGTTTGTTAAATTAATTTAGCGGCTAAATTTTGCATCAGCTTTTTTTTTTAATACCTAATTGGATATTTTTACCTACATATATTAAAAATGTATTAGGCATTATATGCCGCATTTGTTGCATGGCAAATTAGTTTACTTTTGGGAGTATTCGTCCTATGATTCAGCTGTAGAATCACTTTCTATATATTAAAGTAATAAAAAAAGGTTTGATAAATAAAATCCAAAAATAAATAGAAATGGGATTTTCAAGTAAAACTTGAAAAACATTCTTCTTCACTCTTTAATAAGTTTTACAAGGCTTCCTCGAAGCCTCCTCTCCAAATTTTTATTCACTCTGCATCTAGGTGGAGTTTTCTAAAACTTCCAGCAGTTCATACTTACGTTAAATCTCCGTTATAATGTAAAAACATTTCAGAATACAACGAGGGTGGATTGTGGTTTCCTGCAGCTACATGAGTGCCTGACCAGCCGCCCATTGAAGACACTCCGATCACTGGAGCTTTCAGCTTTTCACTTAACCCGAACATAATGGGGCTTACGTAGATTTGGGCAATTATCAAATCAAATTTTTGATTCTGATCCGTGTAGATTTCTCGAAATTGTTGATTTCCCAAAATTGCCTCGGCGAATTCATTGTACATGGCAAATATTTTTCTGATTTTAGATTGCACCGTCAACTAGAAATCAATGGATCTACGTATATTTCATTGTTTACGAAATGCAGTTTACCTCTTTGGACATGAAGAATTCGAATCCATGTTTGGAAATAATTTCATACGTTGACCGACTGGTATCTATTTCGGTTAAATTAATTAAAGCAGGATCGTTTATAGGGTGTGGGGTTACTGCAATCACTTCATGTCCTCTGAAATTATGTTCGCATGATTGAAAATAAGAAAAAGGCAAAAAATGTCGATTTTCTTAAATCTTCTCTTCTTCATATTGGAACATTTTCTTGGCCGATAATGCGATTTTAGAACAAAACTCTGGCTTTTCTCACATTGGGAAAAATAGGCACATGGTTTTGGCTTTACACAAATTCGCTTTGTTGTAACAAAACATTAAAACAATAGATGGCTGAATTCTTTTAAAAAACTAAAAATATACATTTTGCTTAATTAATTAAAAATGCACATCCGAAAATGCAGTTAACCAGCTTCAGAATCGAATTCCCTGTATTATATAATATACAAGTTTCCGAGAAGGCTTCCTTTAGAATGTACAGGAAAATAGAAGTTAATTCGGGAAAAAATCTTTATTAAATAAATATTCATAAACAGTTTTTGTACAGCGTGTATAGTTGAAAACAATTTCAAAATGCGGTCTTCCTAAAACTCAATATATCGCCACAAGTTGGATTATAAATACCAATTCGTTTTCTCTCATTATACCACATGGTGTTCAAACTACATTTATATTAAATCATAACAATAGGGTCAAGAAAATAAAAGAAAAAATAATTCAATTCTATCTATGTATCTTATTTCTGTGTCGTGTAACTTTGGAGAAAAAAGAAAATAAACACAAATTTTATGCCTGGTTTCGTCGACACGACTGGTACAACCTTTAAAAATTTGCAAACCTGTAAGAAAGCGTTTTTTTTCACTAATGTAGTTACATGAAATGCTTTATAAAACATAAGACGCTGATGCCTATTTATTGACGGTATACAATATTGAATGCCTCTTTCAAGGTATGCCGAAAATAATCGTTTGGCTCTTTGAGTAATCCATTAAACATGCAATCAAAATAATTAGAACTACTTGATGTAAGTAGTTTCCCGATTGTATAAAAATGTTCTATTTGAACTTGTTTGATTGCTTTTTTTAAGGCAAACTTTCCTAAGCAATAAAACATTTAACTTTACCGCAAGATTTGTTTAACATTTTTCTGTTCAATGCTTAACTATATAGAATAATTGGAACTTACCTCAGTGAAAGTGTTCTAGAAATAGGTTTAAAAGTGGCCTGGTGGCTGACTGCGGGCATTTGAAAAACACACAGGATTCTTGCCGACAATGTTAACGGTGAAATGACCGCAACAATAATGAAAATGCAACGCCCAAATTCGTCGATTTTCTTCATTTTTCTATGCGGTTTAAAGCAATCGAACCATTCAAGGATTGATATCAACTAAGTCGCATCATAATAAACCGATATATTGCCTCAACGGTACAACTGATTGCGTTGTTAGACGAGTAAAGATATGCGTGTTCCATTTTGAAAATTTAACCAATAGCATCGTATTTACAATTGCTTATTGGAAATTGCAACGCTGATATATTAATTGACCTTTTACATTCACTTTGAAACTTAAATGAACAATGATTCAATCAGGATAATTGTATGCACGATATAACGATTTTTTATTATTTAACAGTACATAATGAACAATGTTAAAGAATAATACTCATTCTACACCGGTCCTGTTTCTTAGTAATTATTACTTGCTCAGTTAATCGACTTGGAAACTACCGCTTCGATGCGGCAAATTAGTTATATCATTTCCCCGATTACAAAATAAACGATATTAAAAATTAAAGTATAGGTCTAGACTAAACTTTTTTGTGGTAATCGCTTCAAAAAGAATTTGTAGAAAAGAAAAAAAGTAAAGCTTTTCTCAATCAAAAAATGAATCAAGTTAAATTCATTTTTTTGCTCAACTTTATGAGAATTGTCTCTAACATGTTCCATTTCCTATATTAAAACCAACAATAAGTTGAAATGTTAAAAATTACAGTTCTAGAGCTTCCTTTTGACAATGATGAAGAAACGAAAACAAACCGCTTTTTAGTAACAATTGTTAACTAATAATTGACCATAATAATTGATAGTTAATGCATTTTCTTCTGGTGAATTATTCCCAGGTACATTGGTCAACTTAGAAGTTTTCTCTTATCAAAAGAGTTTTCAAACCGGAGGGAATTGCTTGAAACTAGTGAGTTTTGCGGGCCTTTATGCCGGCGTGGAAAACCGGCAAAAGTTCAGAGATTCGCTTGTCGGGGCAAATCAAGACAAAGTGAGAAACTATTATTTGGGATTTCGCTTTTGGAAAAGAGCAGACGATGAAAGCTGCTTTAGAATTATTAATCGAGGGTAACTATTATGAGAAACTGTGGAATTGAGTGAATGCAAAAGAGTCTTCGAGTAGATTACGATTTATTTTGGTGAACAACTATACCTACACAACTTTAACGGATTAAAGAAACAGTATATTATAACAAGGCGAAAAGTTCAACAGTTTCTTATCACATCCTACCACCAGGAAACTGGAAGAAAAACAAGCAAGCACTTGAACTGTAAACTTTCGGCTACATTGAATTAATCATTATTATTTAAATTCGATTTAAACATTAGTAAACGAATGTAGAAAAAATTAAATCATTATTGTGCAACAAATTAGGAAATTTCACTTATAAAATGGTGAACAATCAAATTTTAAGCAAGGTCTTATCCTAATTTTCCACTTTACTTTTACCTAAGGTCATTGTACATAACAAATGTGTATATTTTAAGTACTTATTGCAAAATTTTATGATTTCATTTAGAACCTACAGAGTAGCAGGAAATCAAGCATGGTCTTTCAATAATCAAAAATGGTTGTGATCTTAATAGCGTTAAGAATAATTTTTCACTCTTTTATGGTGGCAAAATAAAATTGACAATCAAGAACAAGGTCCGGAAATAAGTTTAGATTTTCTGCCCATTTACTATTATTATTGATACACCTTATATGAGTGCGGGGTCACTTAATTATTATTCGGAAACCGCAATCCGTTACAATCAAACAATCCCACCCAAATTATAATTGGTAGAAAATAACTTTTCCACCGAATCTCTTTTAGTTGCCGTCCAACGCGCAGCAATCTTTGCAAGAAGTTGCTGATTACCCATCGGCTAATTTAAATTAGCATTTATCGGCATATGTATACAAACTTTTACCTCTTGTATATTGAAGGTTGTCGAGTTGTGTGGTTGTAATTTATTAAAACCTGTACGTAAATGGTACAGCAGTTAAATTAATAATTCCAGGGATTTTAAACAGAGCAAATCAAACATGATTGTAAGTACCAGTAGTGGCAAAGGGCATTCATCGAAGCATAATTATTTCAAATTCCTTTGGTTCGTGTTTTTAGGCAAATATTACATTTTTTGGTATTATGGCTCCGGTCTTCACCATTTTTAATCAGGATTTGTAAGTATACATTTTTTCATTTTACTGTTAACTCTGATGAAAGTTATATATTTAATTAATGCTAGTTTTATATAACTAAGCTCCATGTTCGGGAAAAACTATTTTCTGAAAATACATCCGAAATATTTCAGTATTAAAACGTATAAATGTATATTTCTTTACAAAACATTATGATGCAAACAATTTGCAAACTTGTATATAAAATATTCAGTTAATGTTGAAAGGCTAATACGCAAAGTGCGTGTTATTGCAAAAACTTTCGAAACCCATTTACGTAATTAAGTTTACATGACTCTTTTTTTTAAATTTAGCTCAGTGAATACAGAGCGGATTCCAGATTACGCCCATTATCTTCTAGATGCCGGAATTAATGCGATTTTAGGTAAGTTTTAATCCATATTTGAGAGGGTCAAAAATACCAATTAGCTTGAAAAAAGTAGATAGAATGTTTAATAACAGAAAATTGATTTATTTTGGAACGTTTTTGCAATGACAAAAATATATACTGCTTTCTTTTTGGGATTAGCAGTAAGATTGACTATATTTTTATATCTTCCTATCAAAAACTAAAGAAATTGAAAAAAACCACGACCAATAAAAGTTCAATCGAATGATAGGAAAGGAAAAGATCCCTGAATAGGAAAGGAAAATATTTTTGAGAAAAAAGCAAACCAACAAAAAGAAATTTAAGGTTTAAAAAATGCGGACCCACAATGATCTTTAAGTGCGGTATATTTTCCAAATAAATTAATAAACGTTTTATTTGAAAAAGCAATTACCGAAGCTAAGATAAAATAAGAATATGAGATACAAAAACATTTACAATTTCGGATAATCGTAGATTAATCCTATTGTTTCAAATATAAAATTTAGCATGCTAATCATTACAAACAGAATAAAACGCAAGCTCAAATCCGCTGAAGCGAAATAATACCCAACCATCCGATGAGGGATGCTTAATCGATGCGAAACAAATCAAGCGAAGAAAAATAAAAGAGCAGAAGATCAACACCAAAAGTCTACGGGTTTCAGTTTCGTCTTTAGAAACTGTTTGAAAGTTTTAAATCTTTTCAATTCTATTTCTATGGAAGACAATTATCACTGCTTTCCTTTAGACATTTTTTAATATAATAACATGAACCACTTTTTAAGACAAAATCTTAAAAATAACATATCCTAACAAAAAAATAAGAGAAATTTAAAAAATCAACAAAGATGTTAAAGTTTGTGGAACCTATTCTGAAAAAAAAACGATGTTAAAGCGAAGGTAATTCAGGTACCGAGCAAATAGAAAAGAGATAACCAGAAATATTCAGCAGGTAGCTGAAGAGCTTAACAAGGATGAACAAGATAATTGTCAATAATCAGGATTAAAAACGTATTAGGAAAACACAGCAAATTAATTTTACGTTTAAAAAATATGCACCAACCAAGCTTTAAAGAGAGCTTACTTTATGAGGCGATATGATTTTATTGAGGAAAACATAAGAAATCTAACCAATTGAAAGAACGAAATAAATATAGTATTCCGAAGAAAAAAACGATTTGAAAGGAAGATAATTCCGTTACCAAGCAAATAAAAAAGGGATAGCCAGAAAAACTCACTCGATAGCTGAAAAGTTCTAAAATATGTTAATTAGACAACTTCAATTAATAAGGAAGCAAAACCTATTAGGAAAACATGCAAACAATAATATTCCTTTTGAAAAATGCACACCACCAAGTGCGAAGTTGTTAGATGACAATCTAATAAGCAAGCTGGTAAACGGGAGAAGGAAGAAAATGAGAAAACCAAACATTCAGAAAATTTGAGAATCATCCTGTTTTTTCCAATATACAGATTTACCATGCGAATCATTACAAACAAACTAAAATAAAATGCATGCATTTTCAACAATCCGTTGCGGTATGCACAATCGATACGAAACAAATCAAGCGAAGAGAATATTAAATGGTAGAAAAGATCAGCATTATAAGTCTTCAAGTTTTAGTTGATTTATATTTTCGATCGCTTACATAAAATTATCTTATAGTTTTTGTTTAACTTCGTTCTTTCTCTTCCATATTATATTTTCACAGTTTCCAGTAGTTGTAATATAACACACCTTTACGAGCTGGGATAAATATTTAAAATTTTCCAATCCAATTAAACCGAAGAATGTCAATTCATCATTTCAATTTAAATAATAATTTTATTTTGAAATCACTATTTTCCCTTGGCGATTTTTAATAGTATTAACATATTTATATTACATGTTTTATTAAATTCAATATTTTGGTAGAGCATACGATTATTTTTTTAAATTGAACGTAATATTATATAAAAAAAAACATTTTAAAACGTTGGAAAATCAACGAAGAAACACACGTTTGATATTATTCAGAACGAAGAACGTTTTGAATGAAGAGATCATTCAGTTCCCAATTCATAAATCCAGAAAGCTGAAGGGATTTACAAAGGTGAAGGCAAGATAACTGAGAACAATGGGGAACCAGGGAAAATAAGTAGAAATGGCTGACAAAATCAATTTTACATTTAAACAAAATTTAACATCAATAGTGAGTTGTAATTAATTAAGACCTACTTTGCAAAAGAAAGTATTGAACCGCACCCTTCTCCTCGAGCTACTTTCATATCTTTTTATACATATTTCCAGTCATATATCACAATTGCTACCTATACAGCTTCTGCGGAAACTATCAAAATACTCTTTAAGAGTAAAAAAATCGAAAATTCTTTGTAAAATAGAAAATCATATCAAACACCCATTGAATGGGTATAATTAATTGTTAAAAAAGCCCCCGACTTCCAACATTTTAGTTGCTGGTTCAACTGGTGAAGGTACTTCGCTTTCACTACAAGAGCGCAAAAACTTAACAGAAGCATGGGCTGAAGCGGTGAAAAAAACATCGCAATCACTAATGATTCAAGTCGGAGGAGGGCCGTTTCCGGATGTGGTAGAGCTTGCAAGACATGCTGATTCCTTGGGAGTTGATGCGATTTTAACCCTTCCCGAACTGTATTTTAAACCGAAAAAAACTCAAGAACTAATAAGCTACTTGAAGTTTGTCAGCGCCGCCGCTCCAAATACTCCTCTTTTCTACTATCACTATCCGACTCAATCTGGAGTGAATAGTAAGTTTTCAATCACAGTGATTCATAATCGCCTGTTTAATGTTGCCGGAAATTTTTAGTTGATATGGGCGAATTTTTGGAACAAGCAAATGGACAAATTCCAAATTTGAAAGGCATTAAATATACGTCCAGTGATTTAGCCGGGGGTCATGCAGCTTTAAGGGCAGCTAATGGAAAATATACGATCATTATTGGGGGCGAAGCTGTAAGTAGATGTTCAAAAATCAGTTTTATCAGATAATTATTAGTTAAAATTAATTTCACTTGAGACTAAAACACTTCATATCAATTCAATATTCCTCCATTGGGCAAAGAAATGTGTAGACATTCCCTCAATTTTTTTTATTTATTAGTTTTCCATACAATTTCAATTATTTTTATTCTAGGTAATTGAACCAGCCTTAGCTTTAGGTTTTACTTCTGCCATGGCAGGCGCGATAAACATGTTTCCTCGATACGTGAGAGAAATGTTTGATACAATTCAACACAATAAGTTAGAGATTGCAGCCGAATTGCAACGCAATCTAACGGAAATTACCAATATTGTATCACAATATGGTAAATACCTTCCCTCGAAAAGTATTCATGATTTTCTATCAACTTAATATTTTTAGGAGCTAAAATAGCGGGACTGAAACTGGCCATGAACCTTTTTACGCCTATTAACGTCGGGCTAGCGCGACCACCTTTGCAAAATCCCAGTCCATATAAAATTGAGGAAATAAAAAAGCGGTTGGAACCGTTTTTGTAATGGTGCCCAGGTATTACACCCCAATTGAACTTTGGTTCAAATAGCAGCGACTGAACATTTAATGTTTTTATCAGGATAGGTTTCTCATATATATTTTTATAATAAATAAATAAAGTTGTAACACCTTTTTTTAATTACAAATACGTGTTTTTCCCAAACCCACGATGCTTCCTTTGCAATAGAAACAATGTAATGACGACTGAATATACTATTCCAGGTGTGGGTTCTTGAAGAAAAAAACTTCATATCTTATCACCATAAGTTTTATTAAAATTATAAAAAATTATGCTTTTAAAAAAGGTAATTTATATACAGAGTTTATCATTAAAAATATTTCAAAGGCAAAACAAAAGGATTCCTTGTTCGTGTTGATTAAGATCTAAAAGCAAAAAACATTGACATCTTAGAAAAATAACTAAGAATACAGGGTCTTGACGATTTAACTGTGGATTAGCTTACATAAAATAATCTCATGTCAACAAAGTACAACACTAACGAACAAACCTACAGACATGGAAAAAATCATGGTTCTGTAATGGAAATACATATAGTAATTATTATAGAGATTAATTTTTTTAACGTTTGGTACCCATAGTTGCGTCCTGATTCTTTACTGGTTTTCGTTTGTTTAATCGAATTATATTGTTTTTGGATGAATGATACTTGTAAATAACATAGATAGCATACCCTTAAAATAAATTTAGAAAAATAATTTCTCTATTACTCGCTAACGGTTACAATGCTTAAATATTTACGACGATGTATTAGAGTAACACGACAACTGATAATTTTTCAACTTTCATTTACAGCCTTTCAGGAGCTAGAAAAAAGTTGATAATTTATCACGATCCCACAATACTATTGACCTATTGAACTGCAATGTTATATCAAATGTTCAAAATACGTGGGGAAAACATATGTAAAAATGACTTGGTTCTTTTATTAGCAGGTTGTCGTGCCTAATGGTTCTTTATAAGTAGAATATACAAGAACGTAATGAGGAAAGTTAGATGGAAGTTCTTTTCTATAAACATTCGGCCTTTATATATAGGTATATATAAATATCAAAAACTATAAACTTATTACCTCGTCACATGTTTTGGTAAATTCCTAGATGTTTTTTTTTTTGGATTTGTTAAACTGATTGAACGCTATTCAGTGTCCAATGAAAAAGCAAAAATTTCAAAATTTGAATCTCAACTAAATTCTGAGTTGAATTTTGCTTTCAAAGATATACATATATCGGTTGTAATAAATCCAAAATACATTTCTGAGATCGAAGTTTTATAATATATGTGTACATGTATTATAAAAATTATCGAGCAGATATAAAAAATGTGAAAGCGTATTTTATAGAACATTTGAGAAAACAGGCCTATGTGAATTGTATTATAAAAATATTTTTATGCTTTTTTGCAGTATATATTTACTTGTCCAAATGTTTGTTGCAAAATGAAGTTTCATATTTTTTCCACCTCAACACCATTATTAATCTACCGCCTCCCCTTACGCCAAAAGTATAAGCAGCTAAATTAATATACTATTCACCAGAAAGTCAATAGCTAAAACTAATGCTTTATTAGTTCCATTGGCTGATTCTTCACAATAATAACTGAAATATCACATAATTCAATTAACTGCTAAAACAAATCCCTGCAGTTTCTTGCAGTTAAGTATTTCAAGTTCACAGGATGTAACAAAAAATAATAATAGCAGTTTTGTTGTCCTAAATACGTAATCAAATACCCCAGATTACAAAAAAGGGACATCTTGATCGTGTTTTATTTTCTAACAAAATGCTGTCTATAAATAAGAATATGCGATTGATTAAAATTTGAGAAATGGACAAAGAGGTATAATACTATAATTAAATAAAATGTAAGACCTATATTCGTCAAAAGAAGGAAAATAGGGTTTCTGTTTAAAATGATATAGCAGAATCGTCTCAAATCACTTCTTTCGCTTAGCAGTGCAAATTATCCATAAGACCTGAAAATATCAGTGATAGGCTAAACAAGAGTTCAAAAAATGCATTCATAGAAGACTTTCAAACAAATTTAATTGCATGAAAGTGCTTAATAAACTTATCATATTGTCAATGTATTTCGCAGACTATTTAGATTCTTATTTTCAACAGAACATCGTAAAAATATTTCAAATCTAAGATTGATTACTTACATTTGCAGAGCTAGTAAGACAGTGATATCTACAGCGGCATAAGGTCAGAGAAGGCTGCATCGAGACAACCAACTTGTAGGTTTCTTTTGCGGTTCTGAGGCTCTCAATTGATGGCCCTTAGGAGGATTACTTGCTTCCTATATTAATATAAAAACAAACAATTTACCTAGAAAAGTATTATGTTTCCAAAGCCTAACACCCTCTACTACAGGGTCTATCTGAATAGATAGTAAAAAAAGATGCAAATTCAAATAGGAACATGTTCTAAAAAAGCAGAAAGTTTTTACCCATCATAAGCCGATTGTTTCCAGTAAGACAATTTTTAAAATTCACGGGATGTTGCAGACTTCTGAGGTCATTTGCACTCATACGACGCATTTAATCTTGTGTAAGGTAGAAAAATAATGTTTATAATTACTGTTTCGCTAATTGTTAGTTCATCAGAAATAATTAAGCTAGTAACAGAAGAAAAACTTTTTCTAAATGCACTTTTCGCATTCAAATTGGCTCCGGTCTCCCCCCATTTAATGTTTTATCATCTGTATTTGGGTAAATAGACTTTTTAATGTAAATGATTTCAAAATTCTTCCACATTTTACAATTTTCCAAAATAATAATTTAGTTGCCGAACAGTAACATAAAGCATATGAATCACGATTATTTGCATATAAATTTAGGGGGTGCAGACTATTGTAAGGGAATGTAACAAATATTTCCAGCCACATTCCATAAACTAAAAACCAAATAAAATTTGTTGTGGTTAGTAAAAATAAATACATGCAGTAGCTATAAAACTGTGAATGTTCAGTTATATCTCCAAAAATATAAATTTGATTTAATAATCTTGATGTTTGGCGATTTTTATATTTTTCACATTAGTTGATACCTGAAGTGATTAGCGATCAAACCGGTGAATCAACGACCAATCAAGGTAAATTGAAATTAATTAAGTTTAGCTGAGCATTCACTTCAGTGTAGCTAAAAAATAATGCAGCACCATAAAATTAAAATTTATGCTCTGAAAATAAAACCCCACAAAACAAAGAAAGATAATATAGTTACCTTCTGCCAAGTACAAGATGATCAGATGCAAGATAGAAAAATATAAATTAATTAAATATGAAATCCTACTAACTAATTTGAAATGTTTAACGTCGATGTTCATGCATTGTTCTAGTTATCAGATTTTATTGAGATTTATTAACACTAGTGTGTTTGAATATTAATGGATCTTACCAGTTTCTTTTCCATTTTTGCCTTTATGTCCCTGGCTAACGTGAAGAAAGCATCTTCTACCCTGATACTTGCTTTGGCACTTGTTTCTATAAATTTGATGCCATATTCAATTGCCAACTGTTCACCTCGTTCTTTAGAGACTTGTCGTTTTTCTTCGAGCTCACATTTGTTCCCTAAACATAAATTGAAGTTATAAACAACTTAGATAATAACAACTTGCTATGTACCTAACAACATCTTCTCTACATCAGCAGAGGCGTTCTCTTCAATGTTTCTGATCCAATTCTTAATATTTTCAAAGCTCTTTTCATTGGTGATATCATACACTAACATTATACCCATTGCGCCACGGTAATATGCCGTAGTTATTGTCCGGAACCTTTCTTGTCCCGCTGTGTCCCTAAAATCATATGATTCCCAATAGCATGCTAGGATTAAAAATGCGTTTACTTACCATATCTGTAATTTAATTTTCTTTCCATCCAGATCTATAGTTCTGATTTTAAAGTCAATTCCTAAAACAAGACAAAAATAAAAGTTTAACAGTTTTTGTAATAGATAAATATACTCGTAACTGTAACATTTATACAAGGTATCGTCCGGGGTGTCCAAAATATTTGATATATGAAAAAAATGTTATTTCTAAGTTACTAGTACGACTTGGGAAATTCAAACCCTCGATTTTTCATGAACAGTTGAGAAATCAGAAAACAAAAAAATAATAACTTCTGCTTCAGATTAGTCTTCTACAATCTATATATTATAGGTACCTATGAAGTATGTCGAATACCTCGACGGACCCCCTATATAAAGAGGGAGACGAAAATATTAATTGCTGGAATTTTACGAGACCATTTAAGTTTTAAAAAAATGTCGATAGCTTCAGCAAAACATTATTATTAACTATTACTCATTTGTAATGAATGAGTAATAGATTCTTCATCTCGAAACATTTGTCAACTACAAACTCAAATTAGCTCTCTATGAATTATGTACAAGGAATAAAAATAATAGGAGACTGTCATTATTTCTTCTACTCCGTTAACAGACCATGAACGTGAATCATTATACAGTACTAAAATGCAGCCAATTCAAAATAAAGGAATGCTAGTTAACGATGCCATAAACTCTATGGAAAATCTCATTATATTAACAACGTTTTTTTTGCAAACTCCATTTGCTTTGTGACTATTTTGAAAGGTTTTTCAGTTAATTATGGCTTTTAGGTGTGGTTTAACAGGAAAAGGTGTTCCAATTCCTTAAAAAGCAAAATGGAAAAAAAATAGAAGCGGTCAATGACAATTTATGAGCATGCTAAAACTATGTGAAGTTCAGATAAGCAAAATATTAAAAAGCATAAATTAAATGTTTTTTTTTACCTATAGTGGAAATAAAAGTTGTATTGAATGCGTCCTCGGAAAATCGAAATAACACACATGTTTTGCCCACTCCAGAGTCCCCGATCAAAAGTAATTTGAACAAGTAGTCATACGTTTTTGCCATATTCTTTAGTAAACACTTTTACTTGTTGTTCGAACACTTTTTTGTCAAAAATATTGAAATTTCTTTTCTTTTACGTTTACAAGTTACATGAAAGTCATGCGTCAATGTCGAACTTGGTATATCGCCACAGACCACAGAGGATGTGATCTGTGCATATCGCCTCAACAAAAGTCAACAAATATCAGTGAAAACAGGAGCAACAATCGAATAATTAAAATATGAGGACATGCATAATACGAATAATTTATATTGTTTTGATTTTCATTTAAAAAAAGTGTTACACAAATTTTAGTTTCGCTAAGGAAATTATATGAACAGTGAAATTTCAAATTTTTGTTACTTACTTTGAGCTAATTTCACTCAAAATATGCTTTAATGCTACATTTTACATTACCAGCACAGAAAATGTTCTGTTGAGCTTCACCTTTATTGTGCACGTTTATTTTAAAAGTATAAATAACCACAGAATTCATGTTTAAAATAACTGAATACCTGTTATAAAACAATTAATTTTTTTCAATTTCGGAACGTATTCTTAACTTTGTGTTGGTACTATTGCTTCTGACCCTGAATGGAGCTGTAAGCCTGTCATTTACAAATTATTACTTCCTTTCGTCGCATAGTCGCTGGTTCCTGAAGTTCATTTGCTATCCACGTGCTTTTTTCGCTTAGAAAATGGGTTTTGAAAACATCTGGTACAGCCATCCCCGCAAATATGGCCAGGGTTCACGATCATGGTATGTAGAAAATCCAATTTGCAGTTTATTCACCTACATTATAGTTCAGGCATGCTTTTCTTGTAGTGCTTGTATCTTGTTTCCAGAAAGAAATTCAATGATTTTCGATACAGTATCAATGATCTCGACTATCAATAATCATAAAATGCCCATATAAAGTCCGATTTTCGTTCTAAGATTGCCGCAAAATGTAAATTTATTTTTGGGCAAAGTGAGGTTATTTCTGTGGAATAAGGTGGCAAAGTGGATGCTCTTGATGCGTGTAGCAGGACTTCAATAAATGACCTTTGTCTTAGGTTTTTATTTCCACAAAAATCACAAGCCTACATTAAATAGCAAATAGGGATCGTCCACGTTACTTTTGTCTTGTTACAGTGAAGAGACTCATTTTTCCACATTTCTTTGTATCATCGGCAAATAGTCCTTGAACTGAGGACTTGAAACAGAACTGGAATCACAGCAAAATGCTGGGTTCTAGGATTGCACAAAACTGTGTAGACTTTTTATTATTAAGTTCAATTTTATTTCATCGATTTTGTACAAAAATATTACGCCCAAAATGACGCGTTTTTTCGATGTTTTATTACATTTACGATTCTACAATTTATTACTCAGTCCAGAATCTAGACCTCAAACCATCGAGGAAGTGAACCTTCGTCGCTTTCATAAATTTATCGACTTTAATGAGGTCAATGCTATCACAAAAAATACTCTACTAAACTCATAAGAAAACACTCACTTAGAAACATTATACAAAAGGGTTTTATTTGTTGTACACTTTATTGCATTTGCCGTTGCCAATCAGGAATATTTTTGGTTTTATATAATAGACGTGCATATAGTATTCCATATTCAGGGTATAGTTTCTTACCTTTGACTTTATATTTCAGCCGTGCATGCTCCAACAGGCATGGATTGATTCGCAAATATGGACTAAACCTGTGCCGTCAATGCTTCAGGGAGTACGCCAACGATATTGGATTCAAGAAGGTAAATTTTATACAAATTGGTATTCGTAATACAGTTTTTGAAAGCATATTAATTAATTATCCCATATAACGTTTTTTTTACTACTGACTGTAGTATATTGAGCGGTAAAAATATATCTTCTAATAAATGTTTTTTTTTGTTTCAGCTGGATTGAGTTAATAATTATGTATATTTTAACAATACATAAAATTTAAATAAAGCTTTTTTTAACCTTCATTCTTTCTCTCTTTGAGAAGCTAAGAAACTCCCTCAATTCCTTCCCATTAAAACATTCAAAGAAAATAAAACATTTTTTTATTTACAAACATTTCTTAATGTTAAACCTGAATTCACAATGGTCTTTATGATAATCTTTCAATAAACTTTCTGGCAGCGTCTTCTGGTATAATTCTCTGAAACAGATACAGAAAGATATATGTATTTATACTTTTTTCTCAGCAAAAAAACAACTAGTACGTACTTGGCCTAATTCGGCAACTAAAGCTAAAAGAGATCTTTTTGGCGGCCGGCAAAACTTTTTGCCCTTCTCTTGGCAACATAAATTCGGGAAACAATCCATCAGGTTTTGACAAGTTTTTGGATATAAATCTAATTGAGCAGGTGGAGGCGGAGTGCATTGCATATAGCTGGTTATTGTTTTCAAAGCTGAAATTTATCGAGCAAAACATTCAGGTATATGTAAAGTACCTGGATCGAATAATTAAATTACGTTCTAAAACTGGTGATGGTAACGGCAGAGTATCCCATACTGGTATCGGTGTTCTACAATATCTAGCCTTTTCGCCAGTGCGCAACGTTTCTCCACAACAAATCCGTGGAGAACATTCATCATCAGTTATACATTCTTTAACTTCGGATAATTCGGTTAGGGGATAGTCTGGGCACTTTCGTTCTATTATTCCAAAGAATATGGCTGTAATTTCCGTAAAAATGTTTCCTAAGCACGCATGATTTTGCAAGGCACTTACGGTCATGGTGCGGGTCACCTTTAGGTTTTTTGATGCCCTTCAAACATCTTCCATCACAACACAACATATCTTTACCAAGAAAGCCGCAATTGTTGTTGGAAAAACACGGCAAAGAAAATAGGGGCTTAGACGCATCTTTATGTGGGCATATCAGGGGAACGATTGATGCTTCTTCGTCAATGATTTCTCGTCTTGGCTCACGAGTAGAGTTTTCAACTTTTTGGCTTAACGATGCTTGTGGAACCACAGTTTCCTTTTCTTCAGCTTTCATGATCTGTTCTTTAATCTCTTGGGATGGTGTTTTCAGTTCGTACTGTGGCTCTTTGATAACTAGAGCAGGTTTTCCACTGGACTTGTACATTTTTGTTTCGTCATCTTTTTCGTAAGGAATTTCGTTTTTTTCTAGAATAAATAGTGATGTTATATAACTTGTGACTGTTTGATTTATTTTCCTGACTGCGTGTAATTGTTATTATATTCTTTTCTTTCCTGGGTTTCAGTCAAAGTGTGAAATAAAAATTTYCATATAACCTTTCGGCGAGACAACAGCGCCATCATTATTATTAATGATAATTATTAAATTAATTAATAAAAATAATTAGTTTAAAAACAAACTACAAACACCAATTTACATTTAAAATATGTTGTACAAAAACTAATTTATAAAGCATTAAAACATTCATTAGTTAAAAAAAWATATATCTTAGGGAGAGCAATTTGAGAAACTTMCCTCATAATTGGGAAACATTAAATTCTTAAATTCTTTTAAAAGAAAGAAAGAAAAAAAACTTATTTCACACTTTGAAATCCAGGAAGGAAAATAATATAATAATAATTTGTGACTATAGTAATGCTTTGTATTTGGACATGAAGCTTTTTAAGGCTACTTATACGTAAGTGACTAATGCCTAAATTCATCTTTGTGGTCGCATCGGTCATGGAAAAAATCGGGTTTTCTCACAAAAAGCCAGCAAGTTCAGATTGTTTAGAAGCTGTCCTGTAGAAAATTATTATTATCGACCCTTTAACACATAAGGTTTTTATGTTACAACAGCACAACAAAGCTATTTAGATGATATTTGGCTCGAAGGGCCAAAATGTCTTCTTAGCTACAGAAACGAGAAGTTGTATATACAGGACAGCTCTAAAATTATTCTTCACACCAACACCGGTCAAGTGTTCATAGCCATAAAAACTGTTTTTCCGATGTGCAGTTATTTTCGGAAAAAGATACGAGAATCCGCGGTTTTCAGGTTATTTACTTTCAATTCCCGCAAAGAATAACCCTTGCAAATTCCTAGCATAACAATAAAAAAGCTTGTGTATATGAATGTGTGATATTTCGACTATTTGGTATACATTTAACGTAAATCGGCAGTATGTTAATAATATTTGAAAAACTTACATAAGACGCTATTTGATACTAACTTGTTAGACAGGATGCCTATTCAGTATGTCTGTAAAATTTAAACATTTTTCTTTCGGTGTCTCGGTTGGTTGTTGCATTTTAAATCAATTGAGCTCATCGAAAGAAAACCTCCAATTCTGGTCGTATCTAAATAGTAAAATCTGGATATCCCAAATTTTGCCGTTTTAAATGAATACCTTGTATATTTGAATAATTTTCCTATTTGGATTCATTTAATTACTTCAAAATCAAAGTACCGATTTGTCTGTTCGGATGCTTTATGTTTAAATATTAGAAACACTTAAAGCTTGGTATAGAACTCAACACTATTTTTTTATGTTCTGAACAATCCTTTAAAAAAATTAGGTTTTTATTTGAAATTTTCGAAATTTCTCTTATTTTTCACTCGATATCATATGGAACAGCAGACATGATCATTGGCCTCTCAATGAAAAATGGTTGCACAGAAAATTGAGCTTTGTTTATAATTTGCAACTGTAAAAACTTGTGAACAGTCATGAATCATGAATATTTCAGGAACCGTTGAATGTTTTCTTTCTCGAATTTTGCAAGATTGTATCTGTTTCATTCCATTATATTCCATTCATTTCCATTATATTGTAGTAAGTTTTGTAATTGGTGATTAATCACATCCAATACTTACTTGTTCAGATATATTGGAATAAAACATATATTTTGCCCAAAGGTACTGCAACTGAGCATGATTCTATTTATTGGGAATTGGTTCAACATATTGGTTGTATTCTCAGAGCATTCCATTTAGGTTTAGCAAAAATACAGTGAATCATTACCCATGTGAATATGATCAATAACAAACGTACGTAAAATGGAATTTTTCTAAATTGTGCTTATAAATTAATATTGAAAACAATAATTAACGTTTTCTTTGCCAAGCGGATTTACTGTCATTAGTTCAAAATTCCTTTAATTAGTGCTTTCATAATCGCAAATAGCACTTTTACAGCAGTTACTGTAACCTTGTTCTGAATTACAAACAAGTTAAGATACTTTTCAGATAAATTTACTACTTGCATATCAGTTTCCTTCATTCGATTGCAAGTTGCGCAATGGTTGCATTAGCATTCAATGTTGTATGTACATGAATTGGCGAGATAAAGGTGTCATAATTTTTATTTGGTTTGTATGAACATTATCTTTCTGGAAATTATTGGGATTTAATTTTGCAGTCTTACATATTTATTGAAGTCATCATACATAAATAGTAAAAAATTATAGGCGTATGTAAATGTTCACAATTAAGTGAAAATAACGTTTCATTGCTTTTTCTTTCGTGATTGGTGCAGTTAAGACACATTTTGTACTGTTATTATCGATTAATTTAAAAAATGTCACAGATGTTAATCAGATTTTTTTTTCGCTTTTTATTGAAACAGCTTTTATTTGAATCACTAGGATTCCCTTGGTCGGGTAAATGGACTACATAATACATAAAAGTGGTAAACGTCTAAAACGGTCAAGGTTTTGATTATTGTTATTTTTTAAATCCTCCAATAAAACTAAACAAACGTTTTCAGAAGGAATTCAGCTGGCAAAAATGTTTGATAATATACAGGGTGTTATGCGACTCGACGCACTAACCCAAATGCACAATAGGTGTTCTAAGGAAGAATCCGATAAAAAAATCACATATAAACTAGGTCGATTCGCTTTTTTTAGGTATGTTGATCGCAAAGTCGAATTAAACCTACGCTTTAATAAATTACCTACTTGCGGACTTTTATGTGGGGTTTACAAAATCTCGGTTGTACAGCTAAGTAAAGCCGATTTGCGCGATGAGATAATAAAGGTCAAGATCAGATTAAATTAAATTTTAATACTTTTGTGTTTTGTAAAATAATAGTATAACTGACTCCGCAAATAGCTTGTGCCTAGAACTGAATTAAATTCAATGGAGAAGGCGCAAGGAGTTGTTGCATGTATATCAAGACTGTTCCAACTTTGAACAGTTTTTGCAGCTTTTTATTATCTTTGTGTTGCTTTTAAATAAGCAACTTTGAATTTTTTAAATGGTCTTCATCAGAATAATCTCTAGAGCTGCATACCAGTGTTACTCATAATAAGTGTAGCTCGTTTGGAAAATACCGGGCGTGTAAATATCATTAATAAAACATTTAATAAATAAATACGCTTGTTGCGTCTGGTAATTATTTTGGACGGCTTTTTAAAATTGGGTTTTTCTGTTGTGAAACTTCTTATGGAAATAATTCAACGCGCATGCAGTTATTTTACATAAAAATTGCCGATCTTTTGTCCTAATAGGGAAATAGAAATAGAAAATTTATAAATTATTTTGTATGTATTCCAGATTTTGATAAACCAGCACAATTTTCTTGAAACAACCTTTTACGCAACGAATAACTTAAATATATTAATTTTTGTTTCAACAAGTCTCTAACTAACCCAGCGTTCCATAAATGAGCTTGTATCTATGACACCCTGTACATTATAAAATAAATTTCAATCATATCAATTCCAAGCCATTTTTGGTATTTATTTTAATAATAATCAACATTTCTAATTGATTGATGTACAGCGTGATTCGAAATTCAGTACTTTCATTTGAGGTCCGTATTTTCCGTCACGAAATTCGGAAAAAGTTCCCATAAACCGCGAACGTTTTGTTTGCAGAGTACCAGGGTGTCGAAGCTTATTTTTGGATGGAAAACACGGTCCTAAAATTAATCTACTGAATTTTGAATCGTTTTATACACCGGGAAAATAGGAGTAGTAAAATACCCGTTACTTGCTCTGGTAAATGATTCTTCAGTTCATTAAAAAGCTTATATAACGAAATGACTGAAAGGATAATTGCCTGCTGCAACCAAAGCTGATCAAGGAAAACGTGCTTTTAATAAAAATACTTTTTATCATTTCTTTGCAAATGACTTAAAACTGCACAATTAAAGCATTCCTTGAGATATATGAAGAAAATCTTCGAGGAACACTTGCTATATGGATTATCAAAAGACGCAATATGCATTTAGAAATATCAATTAGATTCAGTAACCTCCATATTGGCAATCGTTAAGTAAGGGAAACACACCGTAATCATAAGCTATAAATTGCACAATTAATTTGCTAATTCTTTCAGAAGGATAATTATTCAAATTGATCTTACCTTGATAATATACGGAAAACGTTTTTCAGTTTAGTGCACATATTTTTCACATTGCAATTATGTTGTATACATTTTTTTAAGACGCCTCAAATTTCTACGTTAATTAAAGCGTGAATTAGAGGCTGTTCATTTGCATTTCAATGCTTAATTTTGCAGCACATCGACAGTAATGTTATTAACTTACCTTATTGGATTATTTTACGAAGTAATTCATTCCTTATTATCAATTTTTTTCTATTAGTTCTTAATGCTTATACTTATATTACGCAGACAATATCTGCATTATTATTTCAAATTTAAATCGAAAAATAGAAATTACTAATTGTTGTTTATATTTTATTTCCTCGATTTTTCTCATCAATTTAAGACATTTGTCAATGCAGGCGTTTTTTGAATCTTAAAGAAATGCGCTTTTTTAAGATCATATGATAAGAGTCATTGTCTAAGTCTAAGTATTTAAATCTTTTCCTTGCTTGCTATAATGTTTTTCAATTCTTATTATAGTTACTCAGCAAGTCTAAAGGAATATTAACTAGTGCTCTGCATAAAAGCAGACATGGTTCTTACAATTAACTGATAACTTTCTTGCATATTAACAAATTATTCGTAATCTTATTCTTGTACTACTTATATTAAGTAACTGGAATCTAACTAATACATAATCGCGAAATATTAAAGTTAATAAACAAACCTGCTGAAATCTCAAATTTCTCTTGACATTTTCCTTCTATTAGAAGAATCAGAAGAACAAGGCAAGACAAGAACAATTGATTGAATATCATCACTAAATGTGTTAATTGGATTTAAACTACCGGCATCACATGGGAAAAATCGCAGTTGCCCTTTCGTTATTGTTTGCTAAACTATGTCTCATTAAGAACTGACTCTTATTTTCAAGAAACGAAACATTTTGCTTTCACGCAACTAAATACAAGGTAGGTACCCCCATTGATATCTCGACGCGTGCGATTACATAATTACAGCGAAGACATGTGGTTCCACATGAAGGTTTGTAAATGTATTGTTTTTGTTTTGTTAATTAGTAAGAATTTTGGGGTGATAACAATTATAATGTTCAGCAGGTTCTGTTTGCAAAGTTACTAATTGCTGGTTAATTAGGAAAACTGCGGAAGCCACCAATAATGAGCGGAGTTAGTTAAACAAATGTTACAAAGAGAAAGTCGCTTTTTGAAAATTTGACGTGTTTATTGTCCCATTATTATTGATACGGACATCTACATTTTATGTAGGTAGAATAGTTTTTAAACGTATTTTTTTGTTATTTTATCTATTCATTTGCATAGTTCCATTTGAGGTCTTAGTTTTCTTCCCTTCGAGATTTTTAAAATAGATTTTTTGGACCTTTGGCGGTTTTACCATTCATAAAACAGTGATCTGACCCTTTACTAAAAATAGGTATGTATCCCCTTAAATTAATGTATAAATGATCCTGCGCCGTTATTCCCTTCGTCCTGAAATCGGGGAATTTGAAGAATATTCGCATGTCTACTTTTGCTGGGTGGTAAATGTGTTGTTAGTGATGTCCAAGTTAGGAAGTTACAAGTGGGTGTCATATTGCTTATATTGGAGTAAGTAACTTCGGTAGCTTTTCATTAGTTTTATTCTAGATTTCAAAAAAAAATTAATTAAGCATTTAATTCGAATTTTTTAAGGCTGTAAAAGTTCAAAGCTTCTGCGAACTATCAGTCATTTTTTGTTAACGCTTAAAATACCTAAACAAACAACCAACCTGCTATTAAGCCTGAATTAGGTACATTGATAAACGTTCTGTAGTTTCTTTAAAACAATTTAAATATAGAATTGTTATTGGTTTTCAATCGTACAGATGAATAATTTTACCCGATTTTCTGGTCACCCAGGCAAAGGTAATTCCAGCTACCGGTAGGTTCAAAGTGATTAACTGAGCGTAAATTATGATATTATCCGTTTCTGTCCGTGTAACTCTTATTATTGTGTAGGTGGATAAACGTTTTTTACATTTATAGTCTTTGCAACAATAAAAAGAACAAATTAAACAATTAGCTGCTACTTGATTGAAAAAACTCGAATACGTGAATTAGTATTTTTGCATCTAAAATCCACTGCGAAAATTTACTACTCGAAAAAACCCAAAATTTTATTTTCAAATTATATGAATGTACAAATATATAAAAATCAGGGTGAGCGTTTTCTTGACGTATTTTATTTAGTAAACCAACTTCTAAATCCTAGTTAGCAATAAGCTCCTTTAATACATAAAAAATGCGAACTTTGCGTACGCACACTTGTAATATCCTGAATTACATTTAGTTTCAGAAAACTACTATTTTTATTTCCCATATTTGAATGCAATTTATTTTGATTTTCAAATTTTTAGGTCATCAGAGACTTTAACTGGTATAATTGATTTGTTATTCGAATGAATCAAAAACTGCCATTTTTATGTATTATATGAAGAAACAAAACACTATGTAGACATTTTTTTAACGTTTTCTTTATCAGTCCTTGAAGCGAATATAATAATAGTTCTGAGCATTCAAATCAGTTTTCATTTTGTGTAGTGTACACAAGATCTTTAGCCATAGAGATCAACTATGTGAAAGTACCAAATGCAGTAAAAAACGACAGCAATCGAGCTGTAGTGCTAGATTGCAACTATTCTATTCGACCCGACGACACAGAGCTTGTAGTACAATGGTATCTAAACGAGGACTTGGTTTATCAATGGATTCCTCCAAATAAGCCTCAAAGTCTCGGATTACTAAAGGTGTAGTTAATGCGTACATTTTTTAAAGCTTAGACGCACACTGATGCAAATTAGAAAAAATTGTACTAATACATTTTTAGGATGGAGTCGATTTAGCGTACAGAGCAACAGATGATCCTAACACGGTTTATCGAGCAATGAAGATTATGAATCCAACAACAAATATTGCGGGAGAATACAAATGTTTGGTATCCACTCTAGGTGATCACGATTCCAGAATGAAGAACATGATTGTTTTCGGTACGCACTTTTTCATGTCATTTACCACATGCAAATATTATCACATCACTGAAGTACGCAAAGTAAATCACATTTAAATCGTCGTGATATGTTTATTCAGTTCAATTTCATAAAGACTTTGAAACCCATTTCCGAATATAGCAAGCTCATCAGTGACAAAAAAGCCCTCATGAGTCCCTAGATAAATTTAGAAAACTTTGTCCATTAAAACTACATTATACAGGGTGTTTCATCACGTCATAGTTTTATTTTTTTTAAAGAAACCTGCCAGTTTTATGCAATTTTTTGCTTCTGCCTGAATTTATTGGTAAATTCTGTATTACATATATCGCATTAATGTTATCATTAATGTATCGCATTAATTTTATCTGTTATTTTTTATACCACAAATAACCATCTCTAGCTAGAAATATGTCATCAACTTCAAGTCTCTCGTTATACACGTTTTGATCTTATCTAGAACTATTTGTTATATAAACGGACTGTAGATAAGTGTTTCTTTCTGAAAACTTGATGATTAATACCGCGGAGAAATGAAAATCAATATTTCCATAACTTGGAATATTTGGATAACTTTCATCAAACAATCGTCTTGGAATTTTAAAGCAATTTTTACAAAAATTTAATTGCACTTAATGAAACCAAAATAAATCTAAAAACAACATAAATTATTATGGTCAGCTTTTATATGGAACTGTTTTTATATGTTTTTTAAAATTTATTCACTCAGTTACCGTTTTAGTGATTTGTATTAAAATCTGTAACAGTACATTTTTTCCTAATAGACTAATATAAGGAGACACATTTTAAATATATTACGATAAATTAATGTTATGTTATATGTTGCCACGCGAGAATTTGAAAATTAATACAGCTAATATAAACATTTCCATTAATTTTCAAACAAAGATTCCTTACAATTTTCAATAGCTCTAATGCTGGAAATTATCGACGACAATATAGTATAAATAAGTTAATAGGATAAGTATATTGTTGAGCAGAGACAAAGCGATTGCAACATTTTTTCTATAATCACACGAAATAAATCTAATGTTTTCAATCATAAATCCCTAGGGCGATTAATGGCAACTTGAATTATTGATATTGAGAAGATAGAAAATGTTTGTAGAACACTGGCTCATATGATACATTTAAACTAGTAACTGTGAGTTATAAATATTTTAGAGGATGACTGAAAAAGCTTCTTTTAATTATTTTCTTCAACTCGCACACCTCATGAAGTACAGGAATTTTTTTTCATAACTCAGCGAAGCAGGCTTTAATGTAATTCGGTGTATAAGATCTTCAATTGCCTCTCATGATTCACTTTTTCATTGAGCCACTTTTCATGTATTTATATATATTTTTTGCATATTTAGAGCCTGAAACACAACTAACAATAAAAAAAAGTATGGACGATAAATACGTGAATTTCACATGTTTAGCGAATGATCTTTACCCGTCACCAAAGTTGCTGCTTTACAAAGGTGCGAAAAACGATTTTCACTCTAGGTACGTTCAAATTTGTATTTTTATGTATTCGCATTGATACTAAGTTATTTATTTTGCTTATTTTTATTACGTTTTAGGATGCGGCTCTCTATTACCGAATGGGATATAAAACGAAATCCCGATAATCGCAAGTACACCATGTTCATTGTAGGTACTGATAAAATCTCTGAACTTGATCCAGGAACCCTGATTCATTGCGAACTAAAAATTCCAGGAACTGGATATGTGAAGCTGAAAAGTTTCCTATATTATCCTCAATGTGAGTATTAACTTACCTGGCATGAACAACTCTCATTGTTTATACAAAATTAACTATTTATTATATTATTAAAATAAAACAAGCAAGAATCTTCAGCAGCAATAAGAGCATGATTTATAGTGAGTTTTTCCATATTTTCCAGCTGACCAGTTGGGTAATGGTAAGTATAATTAAAGTTACAAAACTGAAACTATAACTATATTAAAGTAAAACATATATTGATAATTTAGCCAAGTAACAATTTATCTATTGCATTAGTTACTTGAGACAATACAGGTATAATGAAATTACAATTAGTGAAAGCATTTTTTTGTTTTGGGGGTCATCATTAAATAACAACTTTTTGAAATATTCTACTACACTGACAATATAATTTAATGAATTGTGTTTATTTCAGGTTGCGGCTATCAAAATACCTTACATATTATTTTTAATATAGTTCAAAGTTTTATAATCGCATTACTAGATGTTACTTTGATATAGATTCCAACGTCTGACACCAAAACATTCCTGTTCCAAATAAATACTATTTCATTTGCTCTTCGCCCAAGTACATTTAAACATTTTTAGCATAACACATATAATTAAAACAATAAATATTATTGTTATATTGAATAATGGAAATAAATCTTTACTTTCATTGAACAACATAACAAAACAGTATTCAAACGAATGTATCGAGCATAATTTAGCATACGTAATTGGCTTTAAAAATAATTCGTGTTATAATATAGTTAAGTGTGTAGTAGTAAGTAAGATACCAGATTAACATTTGAATTTGAACTGTTCTCTTTTTGTAAATTAAGTCTATCGTAAAGAGTAGATTAATTCCTTTTTCTAACGCCCTTTTTAAGTTAAACTATTTAATAACAAATACTATATTATGAGTATATACAGTACTTTTATACAATTTGCCACAACAAGCGAAACCTTTTAATCTGGAATAACGTAAGTAACACTGGTAATTTCCAGATCATCATCAGTAGTTTTGCGTTTTTTAGGTATACATACGTCGACTTCCATAAAAGTTGCAGTGTTAGATTTATAAGAACTACTACCACCTTGCTTACTTAAATGATTACAAGTGCAGGCATTTCTCTTCCTGCATGAAGTTGAGCTGACTTCGTTATCCGATGGAAGTAAAATGACACTATCCATATCACTATCGCTTATACTAATTGATGGGTTTCGTGTGTTATTATATGAAACTATCGAAACGATGCTGCAGTCAGAAATACTTTGATTTGGATATCGGCTAATTGGATTGTGACTGTCTTTATATAAATTAGGAGCTTTGGAAGTTCCGACGTTTGGGGAAGATCTCGAAACTTTGGAACAACTTGGTCTCCCGACAACAAACTGGTCTTTAAGCAATCCTTTATACACATTTAGATTTGAAAAGTCATCTTTGCCAGTCACGTTTGTTTTACTAACTGACACCAATCTCACATCTGTATTATCGGATTGAACTGTATCCATTGGGGTCCAGCTGCTGGCCATAGCAGGCAGATATTTAGAAGATGGTGTTATATCGAGTTCATCAATAGGTTCCTCTTTTTCAACCTTGATTTTATATCTCTCAGATGTTAAATATGGATGTCTTATTATTGAAATACCCTCGAATGTACTTGCCTCTGAGCAATTCTCTTCAACGCTCTCAAGGCTCGGGCATGCACAATCCACATGAACGATTGAAGAGTCTTTAGAGAGTAACTTTAATAGATTTTTCCATAGATGATATTTTTGGTTAAATTCCAGGAAAGGTTCGGTAAGTTGTGTTAAAGTATTTCTGATATCATCTCGGTTAGATAGTTCTGCAAGAAAATAAGAACATATTCTGTATATACGGTTGAAATTAAATGAAACAGCAAACTGGTCAGCAAGTTCCTTGACAAAAAAAACAATCTTTAGGCACTTTTGCTCTAAGTTCTAACTTCTGAGTTATCGAGTGTTAGAACATTTGGAATGGAATATCGACAAATTTTACAAATGCTTGGTATATTTAGACGAGTAAGAAAATCCATACTTCTGGCTTCTGGATTTTTGTCGCTCCAAATCTGGCAATTTTGTTTATTTACGCAACTATTGAGCCAAAAACGATTACGTCCACATTAAAATGAAGGTAGCGCACGATGAGTTTGGCGAACTCAACAGCGATTTTCGAAATAAATTGCCAAACTTTATTTCAATTTAAAGTTCTGTATTTCTAAAAAACACCCTTTATATTAAAATATTAATCTATGTAAAATTATACCTTCGGATTTTAATTAACTCCTTTTCACACTTTCTCATGAATTAGGTACAAAGATTTCCAAGTAGGTATTTGTCACATACATGAATAAATTGTAATGTAAAAGTGCCTAATTGTGTAAGTACTTACCTTCAACTTTATAATAAGCCTCCACTTTATCCACTACTTCATATTGTGAATTGCACTCAACATTCCAGAATACTGCAAGTTTAAGGCATTTGGTGTTATTTGAGTAGATGATAATTTTGCCTCCATCCTTATTCTCTTCAGTCTCAATGTTTGCGCTCTTTTTAAAAATAACATCGCATATTAAACGTCGGGACTCCAAATATCTTGAAAATTTTATAAGGCTCACAAACATTAAGTTAAGATTTCGCCTCCTCTGGAGGGAGTTACAACAATATTTAAGTTCCTTTTGAACATTTAACGTCTCACAAGCTAGGTCCAATTTCAAAAGCTCTGACCTCGTGCTCTATAAGGAGAAACATGGTTTTGGTTAATACTGTAATTGTTTAAATGAAAAAAACTGACTTACATATTCAAAAGTCATTAGTTTTGCTCGAAATTCGATGTTGTAAATTACAAAGCTTAGCAAATAAGATATGGCCTTCTTTTCGCCGAAAACAGACGGGGCACTCTTTTCCTCATAGTCTATGATTCCAACGTTCAAAACAACCACTTCACTTTGTACTTTTTCCAAATCTACATCAAACTTTTTGAGTGTTTCCAAAGTCAGCTTATTGAATTTGGTTCCACTGCAACTATTTGAGTTTCTCTTTAAGAGTTTATTAACACAACTATTGTCTTTCATTTTGTACTATTATCCTTTATCACACAAGCTGAGTTATGAATGCTACAAAGCATTTATGGATGAAGGGCCAATGTCACAACAAATAAATAAAATAACTTATTAGGTAGTGCAAAGTTTACATATGATTTCGACGTTTAAAATAGGTTAAGGTGTAAACCAGAGGTACATGAAGATATTAAATCGATTCTAGTCACAAAATATCCCCCCTAAAGGGGGTATGTTCTGTGATTCTAGTTTCTATCACGTTCTCCGTGATCCTTTTACGGCAATTCAATTTTGTGTTGTTAAAATTTTTATTTTAAATTTTCATCGTTGTTCGGTGGCCTAATTTAATTATAAATATAGACTAAAACTTAATTAAACACACAATTAAATGAGGTTTATCTCAATTTTTATTTCAACATATAATAAATATAGGAAGCACAATTTGCTGCAGCAATCGAACAATTGTGCGTACACTTGGGGGACTGCAAGGATTAATATAATTATTCAACTAGAATAACTACATGAACATTTAAAAATAAGTTCAGTATGAATACGATAGATATATAAATATGTAAACCTCTTGGAATTTAAAGCAATATAACTACAACTACCAAATATTTGGAAAAATGGAAGCGGTCTATTACAAAATACTCTTCAAAAGGTTTAAATAAGTTGTTATGTTTAGAAATATTTTTCCAATGATTTAATATCTTTTGGATTTGTTGTTGGTCCATGCCTCTCCACAACGTGTCCCTCCTTATCGACAATGAATTTGGTGAAATTCCATTTTATAAAATCGCCCAAAGCTCCACCTTGCTTATATTTCAGATATTTCCATAGTGGATGCGCATCATTGCCGTTCACATTAATCTAGAAATATTAAAACGTTTGCAACAAATTTATTCTACAGCGGGAGTAAAAATAAGAAAACACCCGTAATATTCTCTTAACCATTCATTCTTTCCACCAGATCTCTGCAAAATGTACATTCTATCGTCTATTGTTAATTGGTAAAAAAACTATCAGATCATTTTTAGTAATGGCTAGGCTCTTTGTTACTTGTTTATTATACTACTTGCAAAGCCTTTTTATTTAGACATGCGTAAATAACCACTTACATTGGAAGCGATTTCCCGCTTTATGTTTTTTTATTAGTTTCTACAGGGTAATCCTAATTAAGTCGCCCCAAAAAACTGTGGATTTCTCATAAAAAAAAATTATCTTCCTTTTCTGTCCTTTTCGATTTTCAAAAACAATTTTTTTATTCCCCATGGGCCTAATAATGACTATTATTTAGTTTTCGTTTAACCACTCCCCGCAACATTCATTTATATAAATTGTTGTTGGTGTTTGATGTAAGATCCTTGAATCACATTCATTTCATTTTACCATACGAAATAACTGTGTTACCTAATAAAAACAAGTATATACTCACCTTGTCGAATAAATAAAATTTCACGTTTTTCTTGGAGGCAAACTCGCAGATTTCGTCCTGGGTTCCAGATTCTTCATGTCCAAACTGATTGCATGGAAAGGCTATTTGTTATCGAAATTGCATTGTTAATTAAAAAAAAATGGGAAAATTGAATAAAACATTACCAAGAATCTTAAGCCCTTGACTTTCACCATACTTGTCATAAAGTTCATTCAAAGCTTCATAATTCGAGTCTGTTAACCCACACTCGGATGCAACATTAACAATTAGGCATACGTGTCCTTTGTAGTTTGCAAGTGGGACATCATTACCCTTTATATCTCTTACAGTAAAATCATAGATACTTTCAGCTGTTTTGGGGTTCTCTGGATTAGTCATCGCTTAACACTTGTAGAATAAATATTCATATATTCATATAGAGTTGCGCATTTAAAGAAAATACATCCAGTTAACTTGGGCATTAAATGAAACTCTTTTTAAATAAAATATTCAGGTAAATTTTCGGACATGTAGTTATTTTGGCTGGTTATTAGTGTCTTGCGAGCACAATTTAGTTAGACGAGGGTATATCAAATATAAACGGGATTTATTTGTTTTTTAATTTCAGACCACAGGTATCTTCCCTTTTTTATGTTGTGGGGGTGCGAAAAACTGCACAGTTGTTTGGCAGATACAGACTTTTAAATAGGAAGTCATATATTTAATTTTAACACATACAACTATTAGAATGTCTACTCACTGCACTAATCAAGCTGTTAAACTATTAAATAAATAAACATGTATTCGATTCCGAAAAATTGATTCTTTAACATTTGGATTACAAGATTATATTGAATTTATACTTGGTACCACCAACTTTTTAAATGAATCCAAGGATATAAGATTGTGCACTTACCTTTTAATCCCGTGACAATATTTGTGAGAATGATGAAACAAAGTTTTAAAATGTAAACACGCCTGTAAACGTATTACTTGCGTTTATTTTGTTGTTGATTATTCAGATAATGACAAGGAAGTGTTTGTCAGATTTGACAGAAACGCAAATTGAATATAGCCTTTCCTACATTCACATATATTATTTAAAAAATGCATTTAATCCTAATAAGTTAAAAAATATGTAATAGATTTCGCATCTAGCAAATAAAAAATGCATAATATACGCATAAAATAGGTTAAGGGGTAAACTAGAGGCACCTATTAGAAATAATAAATATGTATAATAGTTTCCATCTCGTTCTAAATTCTTTTCCAACAAGTCAGTTTTGTATCATTACAATTTATATTTTTCGTTGGTCTGTAGTCAAATATAATCAAGTAACTCATCATTTAAACACACGATGTTTACCTCAGTATTTGTATATTATTTGTATTGTTAAATTTTTTATTTTAAATGTTCATCGTTGTTCTGTAGTCTAATTTAATGATAAATATAAAATATAGACTAAAAATTAATTAAACACATGATGTTTATCTCAATTTTTATTTTAACACATTATATAAATACAGGAAGAACAATTTGCTGCAGCAACGAACAATTGTGCGTACACTTATCAGGAAGCTGCAAGGATTAATATAATTATTTAACTGGAATGAATAGGTAGGTACATGAACCTTTAAAAATAAGTACAGGATTTTGATGTACAATATGTAAACCCTTTGGAATTTAAAGTATTATAACTACAACTACCAAATATTTAGAAATATGGAAGCGGTCTTTGGCAAAACAGCCTTCAAAAGGTTGAAATAAGTTGCTAGGTTTAGAAATATTTTTCCAATGATTTGATATCTTTTGGGTTTGTTGTTGGTCCATGCCTCTCCACAACGTGTCCCTCCTTATCGACAATGAATTTGGTGAAATTCCATTTTATAAAATCGCCCAAAGATCCACTTTGCTTGTATTTAAGATATTTCCATAGTGGATGCGCATCATTGCCGTTCACATTAATCTATAAATATAAAACTTTTATTAAAATAAGTTAAAAAATGTAAATAAAAATGAAATTTTACACACTTTACATGTTTAACAAATACCCACATATTTGTTTTATATAAGAACTTTGATTCCGATTTATTCTATTTTACCAAATACCTAATAAAAACACTTCTACATATACGCACCTTGTCGAATAAATCAAACTTCACGTTCTTTTTGGAGACAAACTCGCAGATTTCGTCATTAGTTCCAGCTTCTTGATGTCCAAACTGATTGCATGGAAAAGCTATTTTTAAGTGAAATTTCATTGTTAATTTTAAAAAATGGGAAATTGAATAAAACATATTACCAAGAATCTTGAGCCCTTGACTTTCACCGTACTTCTCATAAAGTTCATTCAAAGCTTCATAATTCGAGCTTGTTAATCCACACTTGGAGGCAACATTAACAATTAGGCAAACGTGTCCTTTGTAGTTTGCAAGAGGCACATCATTGCCTTTTATATCTTTTACAGTAAAGTCATAGATACTTTCAGCTGTTTTGGGGTCCTCTGGATTAGTCATTGCTTGTAGAATAAATATTGATTTAGAAATAATATAGAGTTTAGCATTTAAAGAGAAGTTGGATGTTAAAAGGACTTTTTTTTATAGAATATTCAAGTCAATTGGGTAAATTTTTGGTCGTGCACTTATTTTGTCTGGTTATTGCGTCTTGTAAGCACAATTTAATTGTATGAGGGTATATGAAACATAAACAGGATTGACTGTTTTTTATTTCATACTTTTATGTTGTGGATGGGCGAAAAACTAGACAGTTACCTGTTGTTTGGTAGATACAGATATTGAAATAAGAAACCAAATGTATTTAATTTTTAATACATACAGATATTAGATTATATACATGCTGCAATAATCAAGCTATTAAACATTTGTGAATCTTCTGAACATATTTGCTATTGAAAGATTGATTCTTTAACATTTGAATTACAAGAATATATTAAAAATATATCTGTAATACCATTTTCTTATATTAGACCAAGGATATAAGATTCTGCACTTACCTTTTAATTCCCTGACAATATTTAGGAGATTGATAATGCAAAGTTATAATGTGTTAACGTATTACTTGCGTTTATTTTGTTATTGAATATTCAGGTAATGACGCAAATACAGTCACATTTGACAGAAATGCAAATCGAATATGGCTGAAAACGGCGTTTTCTACATTCACATAAGTACAAGAATATTTATCACCAAGACCAATTTTATTAAAAATTGGATTGAACCTTAATAAATTCATAAAAATCTAAAAGATTCCGCATCTCGCTAATAAAAAAATGTATACGCAATTAAGACTACGCTCAGTGATGTCACATTGATTGTATGATAATTCTATATTAATTAATTGAAATATGACATTGATCATATGCCATTCAGTCAATGTCACTGTACTGTTAAGCAAAATATCAATAGTAAAACATTAGGAATTTGCAGAAAACACCCTTATAATAATTCTAAGAAAACATTTTTCATATTTAAATGTGTTACTATAAGCTCTTAAGTGACCTGAATTACAATTCCATTACTTAAAGCTACAATGTCTGAAGTACAAAAACCTGGGGCACAGCCCCCAGTTAAGATCGGCCACTACATTCTGGGGCAAACATTGGGCGTTGGTACATTTGGAAAAGTGAAAATCGGAGAACATCAACTTACCAAGCACAAAGTGGCCGTGAAAATTCTGAATCGACAAAAGATTAAAAGTCTGGATGTGGTGGGTAAAATTCGAAGAGAAATCCAAAATCTCAAGCTGTTCAGACATCCACATATCATTAAGCTCTATCAGGTCATTAGTACGCCTACTGATATTTTCATGATTATGGAATATGTCTCAGGTGGTGAGCTATTTGATTATATCGTAAAAAATGGCAAGTTACAAGAATACGAAGCGAGGAGATTTTTTCAACAAATTATCTCAGGAGTTGACTACTGTCACAGGCATATGATTGTGCATAGGGATCTTAAACCAGAGAATCTGCTGTTAGATCATAATATGCATGTTAAAATAGCAGACTTTGGACTATCAAACATGATGATGGATGGCGAGTTTTTGAGAACAAGTTGCGGTTCGCCAAATTATGCAGCACCGGAGGTAAATATAATTATTTTATACTTTGATAAGACTGTTCATAATTTGATGACCAATTTTTTGCTAGCCAAAAGCTGGTCAAATGTGGATATTTTTCAATATTGCTAAATACGTATATAAATCTCTATTTAGCTTCACTAGCTTAGCTCAATACAATATGCAGAAATAGTAACAATTTATAGTTGGTTGCAGCATATTTGGTATGATTGTATAGCAAGAAAGTTTACCACACAAGAGCGTGCTTTCGGGTGGTATTATGCATTTCAGACCCGTGTTTAGACAGCAGAAAAAATCAGGATCTAGAGCGATTTCTATGAGTTTCTCAATTTCTTAGGAGAGCTTATTTTTGGCTGTAAACGTTAATTTTTAGACCCGAGTTTAGGCAGCAGAAACAAATCAAGATATGGGCCGATTTCTATGAGTTTCTCAATTTTCAGACGCAACTGTGTGGTATATTTTGCGAAACCGTGAAATTCGAACTTGCTCCAGATTCGAAGCTACGAGTTTCTGAAGGGGAGCTCGCTTTGGGCTGGAAACATTTTCTTATTACGAATCCACCAACTTGTCCAATACCCTGTGACAGAACCGTAATTTCAATTCCACAATAAAATTCAGAATTACAATGCGAACGGCGGGAGAGTCTATAGCACAATTCTAGTTGTTTCAATGGACGTATCAATTTTGGAATTACCCTTTAATTTTTCTATCTTTAACACAGAAATTAAAACAATCGTCTTTAGGAACATTTCGTGACTGTAAAAATTAAGTTTTTCGATGCATTGGTCCTATAGATTTTGTCCTAATTATCGGATGATCTTCGTTCAAATATTTTGGTGGTGCAAACACTGGTCGGTTATAAACGTAATATAATTAATGTAAAAATACACTACATATTTATTTCAGGTAATATCTGGGAAATTATATGCTGGACCTGAAGTTGATATTTGGTCATGTGGAGTTATTCTTTATGCTTTGCTTTGCGGTACGCTTCCATTTGATGATGAGCATGTACCAACATTGTTCCGCAAAATTAAGTCTGGAATTTTTCCTATTCCTGAATACCTCAACAAGACCGTAGTCAGTTTGTTGTGCCAAATGCTTCAAATTGATCCCATGAAACGAGCTACAATCGAAGACATTAAGAAGCATGAGTGGTTTCAAAAGGACTGTCCAGCATATTTATTTCCCTCACCGGTTGAGCAGGACTCTTCTGTCATCGACATTGATGCTGTTAGAGAGGTATTTCAGCAAAGCATACTAAACATTTTTTTGAAACTTAGATACGTAGTTAACTTGTCAAAATAATATTTTCTATAGGTTTGTGAGAAGTTTGGTGTACAAGAATCAGAAGTGCACAATGCACTTCTAAGTGGAGACCCACATGATCAATTAGCTATAGCTTATCATCTAATAATTGATAATAAGCGCATAGCTGACGAAGCTGCCAAGGCAGAAATAAAAGATTTCTATGTAGCTGGAAGTCCACCACCGGTTAGCATTACTCCCATACCTGATTTTAACAGTTCATTAAAACCTCATCCTGAGCGGATTGCTCCTTTGCGAGACAGAGTGGCTGCAGCGAATCATGCTGCTGCAACAGGCGATAGAAGTAGAGGTTGGTAACACTTTCATAAGTGTATGCATCTTTAAGTCTTATAGAAATACCTACGCTTAATCAACATTTAAATTTTTTACCATTGATTTAAATAAATACATAATTTATTAGAACTTCTTCGTACATATCAACTCCATCCGATTTAAGATAAAAAGTTTTTAGATAGGACATTAATTTCGCTCAGATATAGGTATTTTCAACGAGAATATAACACCTTAAAATATATATTTATTCTAAATCTGGAAAATGTATTGCTTATACTTAACACTATAAATATATTTTTTAATTGTACGGCTTTACTGCTCAATAAAAATCCCCAGTGTCTGAAAACACCATCACGTTTATAACGGCAATTGCGATTTCTTCGAACTTTTAATTATTCTTCCATACACTTCATAAAAATTGAATTTTTCAGTGAAAAGAGCGAAGTGGCATTTAGGTATTCGATCACAAAGCAAACCAAATGATATTATGATGGAGGTCTACAGAGCTATGAAAGCTTTGGACTATGAATGGAAAGTGATAAATCCGTATCACGTGAGAGTGCGGCATAAGAACAAACTGCATGATCGATTTGTAATGATGTCTTTGCAGCTTTACCAAGTAAGTCACTAAAAATATGTAAATATTGTGTTAATGAAAAATCTTGATTGGAAGAATGAAGCGGCTTTGATTTTGTTATATTGTTTAATATCAGCGAATATGTGGTTTCTTTTGCCTTTCAGGTTGATTACAAAAGCTATCTGCTCGATTTTAAGAGTCTGAGCAACGAAGATGCGGAATCAAACAATATAAACCCAGCGACTTTAATGTTGGATACAATTCCAACTCCAGTTCAGACAGGTGGTTTTTTGTTACTCATCTCGATTTCATAATTAAATTACATTTTTATTTAGGAAACGTGACAATGCTAAAGCCTAGCGGCCATCACACGATGGAGTTTTTTGAGATGTGTGCCGCACTTATTATTCAGCTCGCTCGTTAAATTAATTCTGGTAATGTTACTGAATAATCTTAGTTAGTTTAACAAGCGTTTGAATTTCGGGTGACATTTAAATCCTAAAATTTTAAACACAATACAATGGGAATTTTACTCAAGCTGTTATTGTTGTATACATGTATATATTGTAAATGTGTTGTTATTTTTCAAATGTGATTAAGAAAAATCCATTGTCTTAAGAAATATGGCACATTTCATCAGTTGTCTATTATTTCTGCCGCAAATTTTGCGTTAACCAACAATTTTAGTATTTTTATTAGGATTGAAGTATTGTAATCTTGTATTATGGATAATAAACTATATACGTACACACAGGGAAACGTTGGAATTGTTCAGTTAATATTCAATTTAGTTTGGGAAAACAAACTACAAAAGCTACGATATATCCTTTCTTTTTCTTTGTGCTAGTTTTTCGGTAACATTTGGAATATGTTTCAAAATTTCTTCTGTGCTTAACATGAACTCGCTATCAGCCCAAATATTCTTCAATTCGTGCAATACTTGTCCCATCATTCGTCCACTTTCTACACCATTTTGTTTTAACAGAGCACCGCCTATAGGAAAAGTTGGAATCTCCCACTTCTGAAAATCTTCTAAATATGGAGAGTTATTGTATTTCAGCACTTCTATAACATATTGCCTAACCACCAACGGTTTTGATTTTGTTTTAACAACCAACTGTTGATAGGGCAATAAGGGTTTAGGGTGAAGTTTGGGTCCCCTGTGTTCGATGACAAATATTGCTAGATCTCTTTCAAATGCGGATAATTTCAGGCGGGCATTTAGATTAATCGCATCATCCAAGGTAGATAAAAGAGTTGATAACAATGTTATTGCATTCAAGCTCAAATGACCGCTTTGTGCCCATACTCTTTTGAGTTCTTCTGTACTGCAATTGCTGGGTAAACCTGAAAGATGTTTAATTGGTAAACTGCTGAACACAGGAATTCTAGTTTATAGTACTTACCAATGTAGGGTCCCAATTCACATTGTGTTATAACTTCCAGTAGTTCACCAGCAGAGTTTCCTTCGGCGATTTTCTTTACTTCAGTCCAAATTCTTTCTCCAGATATGTTGCTCAATCCTTCAGCATTGTTTTTAATCGTCTGCAATGTTTCTGGTTCATGGTTATTCGGTTTGTCGGATATTCTACCATAAAATCTGAAAACAGTTTTCGATTAAAGTAAAGTATTTGCATCAAAGAGAGTAGCGTTTCAATTACCTGAAGTATCTTAGTATCCTCAAATAGTCTTCCTGGATTCTTTTCTCAGCACTGCCAACGAAAGCAACGCGGCGTTTCTTCAGGTCATCATACCCGAAAAAATAATCGTATACAGAGCCATCCAAGCCCAAAAACATTGAATTTATAGTCAGATCTCTTCGTAATGCATCTAGTAACCAATCCGTGGTAAATAGGACTTCGGCATGTCTACCATCAGTCACAACATCTATTCTTAAGGTAGTCACCTCGAAGTTTTCATTGTCATTTATTCGGGGTGTTACGGTGCCATGTTTCTCCCCATTTGCATTGATCATTCTTACATTCTCAGTTTCAAACATTTTCTTCATTTCTGTGGGGGTAGCTGTGGTGGCAAAATCTAGATCCTTGGGTTGTATACCCATTAGCAAGTCTCTTACTGCCCCTCCAGCTATACGAATTTCATGATTGTACTTTTGAAATAGTCCTACCAGAGTTTTCACATCTTCAGACAATATTGAATGAAACTCTGGGCTTTCCAATTTGAGAATAACGGGATTTTCTCGAGATTTCGGTACCTTCATTTTGAATTTGTTGATATAGTATTCAGTTGTTAAAACCTGAAATAACCCAATGAAAAAGGAAATATTTAGAACATTGCTAACAACTAACTTGATTGCTACAGTGTCTTTTCAATGTTTTTAAGCTGTGTAGTGCAAACTTACGACAAATTATCATATTAGATTTCAACTCTAGCTGTTTATTTTAATATAACAGGTTGAAAATCAGTTTATTCAGATATTTCCATCCATACACTTATTACAATAAATGTTAAATGTCTGTGGTTAAATGATAAGAAAATGTTATGGGTTATGATTGATTTGTATCGTCACTTCGTAACAAGTAAGGTTATTTTGAGTGTTTTGCTGGAATATTTGCTTCTAGAGAGACCATAATACTCAGGGCGGAGCAAGGAAGAATTTAACAATTTTTATCAGCTCAAGTACAGGGATGAAAGTAGAATTTCCTTTGTATTTAATTTCCCAAAAACTCTTAAGTGAAGGCCTGAAATATTTCTCATGCTTCTATTGGACTCACTGATAATATGATAAGTGCACAGATCACAGAGGTTATCCGTGCTATACACTCTGTGGCCTGTGGATAAGTGAAAAACCTCTTGACGTTTCATGTTATCAGCGACGTTCCAAAAACAAAACAAATTGGATTAAAATTTGATTTTTGCATTCTAGTTTTTGCTATTTACAGTCTTATCATTTCAGGTTTGAAGTGGCATGAATTTCCTCTGATCTTGAAGAATATGTGCTGCATCTTAAGATAAACAGTCTTTTACTTATAATATTTATTTCTTTGTTTAATATGACTTCTCAAGAACCCCTTTTACGAGAAGGGCTATCTGGACAGTACAGTTATCAAAATCAAACCAATCGGTCATCTCTTGATATGTGTAAGTCGAACTTTTATACAGTTATCAGCTGCATTGCAATCGATGCAGCCAACTTTTTTTTTAATTTAAAATTTTATTTATTGTTTACTTTCATTTCTTACCTATTTGTATTGTTTCTGTTTATGTTATGGCAGCACATTCGTACAGCGTCAACACAATTCCATCAATCCACGATTATATTATATCGGAAGATCTGCTGGCAGGACAAAGGCTTGATGGAAGGATGTCCGCAGTTAGAAGATTTTTTTGTTTGTTTGTAACTTTTGATTTCCTTTTCATATCCCTAATGTGGCTTATTTGTGTTATGGTAAGTTACGTTTCGAATGTTCACACTAAAAGCCATATTTATCAACACTCCCATCTCCTGCAAGTGTTTATTAATTGCATATTTTCTCTTTCGCTTCATATCATTTTTATAAATTCATATGTTCTTATTACATTTTTTAAACCTCAATCTTCAAAATACATATATAGTTACGAAATTGGCTCAAAGCTATGCAAATGTGCACATATACTTTTATACTAGGAACTTTGCAAATTTCTATTTCTAGAATACTTTGTGTTTTAATAGACTTTTTTTTAAATATAGTGTGCTATTTTGGTTAAAAATTGAGTAATTTCTAACTAATTTGAACATTTTTTAAATTTTTATTTGCGATTTGACTAGTTTTATCAGCTTTTATCGTAACTAAGTCGGTTATCAAATTCTGTTAACAATATTATGTCAATTGAACGTAATTTTCTTTTATTTTCAGTTAAATGGACAGAATATAGTGAATGCATTTATTGAACAGATTCTGCACTATAATATACACGAATCCCTTTTTGATATCGTATTGGTGGCTTTCATGAGGTTCTTGCTCCTGATCTTATTTTATGCCATACTGTATATAAATCACTGGATTGTTATATCGGTAAGTATAAATAGTATCGGTTAAGAGTGTCAATTTATAAACCTTGCTTCATTGCTTTAAAATCGAGGTTGTAGATAAGAAACATAATTAAATTAAACATATTAATGGGAGAAAAAATATAAACTTTTTGCTAATTTTCCGCCTCTAGAGTTTGAATTTAACATGATCAACTTATGATCATCCTAACTTACAAAATTTTTTTTAATTACCATTTTACGAACAATATTTCTGTAAAACGTATAAGGACTTGATATTTGTATCCGCTTATTTTTATTATTATTATGTTGTTAATTGACTTAAATGTTACGTGAAGTAAAAATCACATGTTTTTACGTAAATTTTAATTACATTTTAGTTATCAACAGGACTGAGCAGTGCTTTTCTAATCGGAAAAGTGTTTGCCTTTGACGTAAGTATCTCTTTTTATTTGAATCGCTTTATTTCTAAAAACACACTTCAAATTTTCCTGAACTTTGTTATACAGGCTATTCGGAAATTATTGTGCATCTATTCGCTCCACATTACGACATATTACGAGTCAAAATAAGTTTTTTTCCCATAAATGCAATGTTCTAAAACTAATTTTGTTTCAAAAAACGAAACCGGGCGAAAACTTAGTTTGTGCCTACCGTTTTCTATATCAGGAAAAAGTCCTACTATCAGTTGCGCACTAATTTCTGGATTTCCCGTATATTTCAGCAATGAGAGATTCATATGCATTTTTGGACCACTGATAATTTTGTAGTGGACCAAGACATCTCAACCAGTTTTTGAAGTTTTACTGGTTCTGGCTTCGTTCATTGTTTCATGGGGAGAAGCGTGGTTTTTAGATTTCAGAGTCATTCCTCAAGAAGTTCATGCCAATAGGTACCTTATATGTATGTATTTATACGTTTTTTTATTTCTTCTCCTAAATTTTTTCTTACTTTGGCACATTTGATTTGAAGCAATTAAAAGGAAACACAACAATAAACAACGTTTTTTGCTTTCAGCTGCTACAGAATCGGAAAGAGCACCTTTGATTCGACGCTTTATACAGGGAGTTCCGTCAATGTATGCGGAAAGTACTACCTTTTATTCACCCAGAAGTTCACTTCAAGGTTCTTTATTGCACGAGGAAGAGCCCGAAAATGCGGTAATTCCGCCCGAACAATTAACACCTGACCAGGTAATGTTCATAATTTCATATTGTATACATGAATTGGTTTGGAGTATTTTTAAAATTGTACGGGGTAACGATGAAAGGCTGGGGTATGAAAAAGTTTAGGCCGGCAAGTAGGCTTCTGCGGCCATTCCGCAGAAGAGATGCAGTCCAGCAAATAAGCCTTGCATCAGTACTAGGTCATTTTCGCCTAATGAGCTGACACGCAGTTCTCAGGAACGTCCAATCGGCATAACCGAATTGATGCTGATTCCACGGCTCCACTCTCCAAAAACTCTCACCGTTACTTTTCTTTGCTGAGTTCTCTTGGTGTAGAAAAATTAAGGGGCACATTTTCGCTAGCGTTGGTTCAGAGGTACGCGTCAGTCAAACCGTGGATTGCATCTCCAACCGTACGAGCTTATTATTTTCCGTGATCAATGTTTCCTTTGGAGTTTGTAGGGTTTGAGGTTGTGCTATGTTTTGGCTATTCGGCGGATTTTTGCCTAACACGCTCTCGAACGAGCTTTCGGGTGGTGGCAGTTTAGTTAACATCTGAGAATCACATACAATTCGTATACAAATCACATATACAGGGTGATTGAAAATTGGCGTCATTCCTTTTACGGGGTAATAGGGGCTCACTTGGAAGGTACGGGAAAAATATTGAATTTTTTTTTTCGATAATTCCTAGATGATATTAACAGTTGAAAATCGAACTCCCACTTCGTTATTAAGCGTTATTTTGAAAGTGTTTAATTGGAAACATATTGGAAAATTAAGCATTCAAAAAGAAAAATTACGATCTATGCTTCAAATTACGAAAACTTCTGATATTAAAAAAGTTCTCTTCAACAATTTTTTGATGAAAAGTCAAAGCGGCAATGTTGTTTTTTCCCATAAACAGATAGTTACAGGTGGACAGCCTCTTGTCAATAATAACAATAATTTGCCAAACTGTGACTTACATTGAATTTCCTTTCACGAATTTGCGGATATACGATTAGTTCAGGGGAAATGCTTCAGTAACATAGCAGAAGCTAAAAGAACTCAATCCATCAAAGGACGCGGAGAGTGGTTCCAGGAAGATAGTGGACGACAATAGATGTTCGGGTCCCAGACTCAGAGGAACAAGTGTTGGACATAATTGCAGAAGAGCCTTTCAGGGGCACTCAGAACATTGCACAACAACTGACACTTTCCCAGGCACCAAATAAATACCAGCTGCATTCCTACCAAGTATGTAAGATCACATTAAACCAATGGATTACTGAACACCGGTATAAATTGAGCAGGATTAAATTAACCGAATACGAGACGCTGCTCGAGAAGAGTGCATAATAAGGTGATTACACAGGCACTTGTTTGGAGCTACAGACTCAAATGTATGTTTTTGTACTTTGTAAACCAATTAATAATTCTGGGTTATGAGTTTCGAAATAGGTTCCGTCATTCAACGATTCCTGTTGAATTTACCGTTTATCCTTGTCTGTCTTATTGTTACTTTCTCTATTTATCCGTGGTTACCCGAGTTGAAAATAATTACGAAGCAACAGGTATTTACGTCATGTTAATTAGGCAGATTTCCTTGAAAAACATTGTTGCCGTTTTTCTAATATAGTCTTTTGCAAATTTCTCAGTTTTTAATGACAATTAATTTTTTTAAATATTTTTTCTGTACTCCTAAAATACCGCCAGGCAACACCTCCAAAGGAATGACGCCAATTTTGAATCACCCTGTATATTTTAAACTATGGAGAATCAGATTGCAGTAACAGTGTGCGTCAAAAACAAGTAAAACAATCGTGTTGGAACGGCCAAATGTCCGTTAAAAAAACAAGCTTTCAGCATTCTGTATTACAGCCATTAGACAAAAAATAGTTTGATAGAAAGTTCGCATTTAATTTGAAAAACTGGTACTCTTTAAGCACTGGTTGCGTATTTTTTAAAATAAAACACTAGATAATAGTATGTCAATTGATGTATAATAACTGAAATCAGGAAATGTTGCGAAGAGCACAGCATGTTGAGAAGCACTCAAATAGACTATTTTTTAAATAACTTTGTTTTAGATATTTGCACAGTATTCTGCAAATAAAGCAACTCTTTTGAAGGATATTTATTTAAACAAAAACAAAACAGCTATGCTATACATAAATATTATCATATTAATGATAAATTCGTAGCTAACAACCAGTTGATAAATTATTGACGTGAAACAATTAACATCTCCAGTACTAAACAATGTTCTACAGCTATTCAGCCATTTAAATCAGTAAAACTTTATATTCATCTATTTTATCATTGAGTGAAAATTGAATATCAATTTGTAATCCTGTCGGATTTTAACTCGCACGCTGTTAACAATATTCTACCTCAATGAATATGTTAATCTATAGGTACATTAAATCTTCCAGAAAAGAAAACATAGCATTAAAGTTGAATTTGCGAGTACAATGGGAACATGTATGTTGAATTTAAAATAATTTATCTTATATTTTTATAAATAACTATTATAGCAATGCAGGTGTATATCTTCAATTATTATCTGTATATACAGGGTGGTTTTTTAGTGCGATAGAGTCCATTATTTCCGATGGTGTTGAACTTTCGCAAAATAGCTTCATATAAAAGTTGTTGACGCACAAAGTGCGCACATTTAAAAAATATCTTATATGATACAGAGTGTCTCAGAAAAGCGAAGCAAGATCAAAGTGTATTTTTTTAAATAGAACTACCCATTTTTCATTAGCTCATGGAATGCAGCTGGAAACGTTGCATATGCACCGTAAATTGTTTTTTTCTTACTTGCGACGTTGGCAGATAATCGCCATTTTAGTAAAATTTTGATTAAAAACATGGTATCTAAAAATTCATTGTAGAAGCAAAAAAAGCAATCTTTCTCAATTCAATCTTTCCAATCACCACAGATCCGTTAAGAATTCTATTGAACCAAAATATCAATACATTGTACAGGGTGAGGTTGACTTCACAGCTTAAAAGGTAAATGCAAATCTGTAACTTTGTAAATTGTCTATCTAATGACGTATTAGTATATTCCATTTGAAAAACAAAAGATATATTGCGTTAAATTGTTTTAGATTGAAGTCCACATTGTTAACACCCCCTTACAATTTGATTATTATTATATTATATTGATAATTTGTTTCAATGGAATTCTTAACGGATCTGCGGTGATTAGAAATACGTATTTTTTTGTATCTTTAAGTGCTTTTGTTGCTTCTACAATGAATTTTTAGATACCATGTTTTTAAGCAAAATTTTACTAAAATGGCGATAATCTGCCAAYGTCGCAAATGAGAAAAAAACAATTTACGGTGCATATGCAGCTTTCAAGCTGCATTCCATRAGCTAATAAAAAATGGGTAGTTCTATTTAAAAAAATACGGTTTGATCTTGCCTCGCTTTTCTGAGACACTCTGTATCATATAGGATATTTTTWAAATGTGCGCACTTTGTGCGTCAACAACTTTTATATGAAACTATTTTTTGAAAGTTCGACACCAACGGAAATAATGGACTCTCGTACTAAAAAACCACCCTATATGTATGTTTTATAGAATTTTCTGTGGTTTACTACACATGCTAGCTTCCTTTCATTAGCCTTCCTGACGGTGCAATTTCGTTTCTTGTAATTTAAGTCGTCTTATTGCAATTCTTCATAATTCCCGCTGGTAATCATACCTGCTTTTGTAGGTGACGATGGGACGTTGACCTTATTTCATACCATGGTTGTGGGTCACCTTGCTCGCGATAAGTCGTAGCGTTTATTTTCGAAACTTTGTATAAGTTGTCATACATTTTTCATGCTGCCAACGTGTCTTGGATGTTTGGATTTCGGTTTATATAAATACATTAAAAGTCCCCTCTTTGTCAGGTATAATCATAATCGGTGTATTCTCCATAACAGTTCAGTTCAGAGTAGCAACTACAATTGAAGATCCTTTGATATGAATAAAATTTTTCGTTTTAAATACGATGCGCTATTTGGTAAGTGACGGTGATTTCAATCAACTGTAGTAAGCGAAATTATTGAGTGTCGGAATAAAGTGTAATCTTTTTTCTTTTGCTATTGCAGGAAACACATTATAAGCACTTGGGAGCCAGAACGCTTCAATCTGCTTGGGACTTATATCAGAAAACTGATTGGAAATTGCGCCGACAACAAAATGAAAGTCGAGTTTTTGATAGAAAAGATCCCCAAGCTGGAACTATTTTCAAGCTAGAGGTAAGAGTAAGATTAATTGTTTAAATGAGTATGAACTGGAAAGATATATTAATTCATTAAACAAAATGTAAATAATACAGAAACTGYCGTAGAACTGCMTCCMATAAAAATAATATAAAACATTAACCTTTTGTTGTGTACGARAAMATATGGATCTTGTRCTTTTTTATTTCAGTAACAATCGTTTAGCTGCTTTGCTTATTAAAAACATMACAATCTTTCCAGTTTTTAATATGTTTAACAATTATAGCGCACWTTAAGAATGATACTTTGAAARTGAAAAAGGTTTTYGAAAGAAAAYGTATTTTTTTAAATATACTGYTTATGCGAAAACATTTGTTTAATGGAAAACTGCTCTTAAGTAGATTAATCCAAAATTTATATAGTATTGTATATCACATCATAAATCAATAAATACAACTAAATGAACTATTCAACAAAATTAATGTTATGCAGTCAAATTTTCCGTGTTATGTTACAAATTAATTGTGTATATTTTCCTGACTGTATTTCAACTTAATACAAAAGAAATTCCTGGGTTCCATGTTACAAATACGTTTCGGTGTTTTTCTCCACCATCGTCAGTTTGTCTAAAATATATATTCACAGTCGTCATTAGTTTAAAACAAATTAAAAAAAAATCCTGAACATGATGGTCCTGACTCATCACCTGTAATCCCAAGAGATTCAAACGATATTTTTAATATGTTTGTAATTTGTATTTTAGTATGTATATTTTAACAGAGCTTTTGTTTTAAACTAATGACGACTGTGAATGTATATTTTAGAAAAACTGATGATTTCGGAGAAAAACGCCGAAACGTGTTTGTAACATTTTAAATGATAAACAATAAAATTGACTGGAACCCAGGAATTTATTTTGAATTAAGGTAAAAATTAAGCCCCTCAGATACATTTTCTACAGGATGCAGAAAAAATTGGTTTTTTGAATTTCAACGTCAAAAGTGAGAATATAAACCAAATAGCCCAAAGTTGTTTTTTTATTTTTGGATCATCTCTTCTATTTATAGGGTGGTCTCAAAAAATCCACTTTTGGGTCTTGCAGCGATAACTTTTGTGCTCTTGGATCGATTTTCACGATTTTGAGCTCATGTTGAAGTTAAAACTTCATAGACAATCTGGGACGAAATCTCGAAGTGTAGGGTTGCATGAAAAATGGGTCAATTTGCCCCAGAAATCTGTGATTCTAGTAGACTTTCTACTAAAGTGAAGTTTACTTTCAAATATTTCTTTAATTCATGCAACCCGGTATAATGATTTTTTGTCGCAGAGCCAACCACCACTTTGACTTCAATATGAGCCCTACATTTCGAAAATCGGTTCAAGAGACAAAAATGTATCACTGCTAGACTAAAAAGTAATTTTTTGAGACCAGTGTAAATAAAGGAGACGATCGAAAGAATCCCAAAATCTTTTTTGATCTATACAGTGCATCTTAATGCCTGTGATCTTAACAACTGAGAGCAGCAATCCAGCAATCAGAATTTATCCAGTTCGAAAATTAGTCGAAATTTGTCAGAAAAGCGTCTATTTTGTTGAGCAGTTTAAATACAAATGTAAGAAATATGTAAATAAAATGTAAATAAAATAATAAATATGTTTTTCCAGACACAAATAGATGCGAGTCCCAGATATATATTGGATGAATTATACTTTCGCGTTGCCAATCTACCAAACTGGAACCCTACAGTAAAGGAATCCCAAAAAGTGCAGGCGATTGATGAATTTACCGATATCACTTACCAAGTTTCCGAAAATGGAGCTGGTGGTATAGTGAGCAGTAGAGACTTTGTCAATCTCCGGCAGTGGGCTCGTATAGAGAACGCCTACGTTTTATGCTGTGTAAAATGCGACTACCCACAGTTACCACCTAATAATAAATACGTTAGGTAGGTGCTTCGAACAAAATGTCCACAGCTAGTTCTGAATGGCCAGCTGTACGCAGTATCTGCATACTTATAATTAATTGTATCTATTATATGAAGACCAAAATATTCCGTTCTAAGGAAATATTAATAAATCGATCCGTTAAATTTTTAGGGGTGAAAATGGAGTCGGGGGTTACATACTTGAGTGTATCGATGGTGAGAACGACAAATGTCGTTTCACTTGGATAATAAATCCGCACTTGAAAGTAAGAGTACCCAAGACTATCCTAGACAGACAAATATGGAGCATGATGATGGGTTTTGCTCAGAATCTCAAAACCCATATCAATAGTTTAACAGGAGAAACAAAATGAAACGACTGAGCAATAACAAGTAATATTAGTGAAATGTTTTATTCTATGTTTAATTCCGTATAGTAATCCATTAAGTTTTCCATTATTTTATTATATCCTAGTCTTCACAACTTTTCCAAAAATCAGGTGCTTTTATTTTTCTCACAATTATTTGCCATTGAGCCGTTCGAGGCTGGATTATAATCTCTATGAGATGCAATCTGAAAAATATCCAATTACCGACATTTGGAGCCACCCTTATGGTTTTATTTTGTCTCGTAAAAACAGGAGTTTTCTGGACATGTACACATAAACTATTTTTTAAGGTGACATTTGTCTGCGTAACAATTTTTTGCATTAGTATATAGGTATTCTGTTCAGTTCCCATTAATCAGCATTTATCGTTTACAGGATAAGCGTAACTTTTTATACAAGTCTATTTTTAAGATCAATTAGAAGCATGTTAAACTTTTGTTGATTGAACTTCTGCAAGTTAACATATAGAATTCATAGGTGTAAGTGACCGGCTTTGTATTATTATATTGCTATTCATTCTTACAAAAATGACTGTGATGAAATTAAATAGTTAGCACTTCGGAGAGATTTAAAACAATTATAATGAATCTGAATAGAGCCGATAAATGTTTAATTTCCAATATCCTATCCGGATCTTCCAGGTAAGGTGTTCAAAGATGCAAGGAACAAGGAATTTTTAAAATACTTTAATAATTTGTTACATTAATATAAAATTATAGGTTGCAGTTAATTGTGTCTAGATCATTTGGCATTTTACTTTTCTTGAGATGGAAACCAGGAGGAACACGCTTCGCTTGCAATCTCACACATAGCAGATAATGCTTTTCCTGCAGGGTCGTACTCTAAAAATCCGTTTTTAAGTAAAATATAAAAAAACATTTTTTTGCCTTTTAATTGTAGATGCCACTATTTCTTACCAGTGTTAATGCTTCCGGATCTTTTTCCAAAAATGGATCCGTTGAATGGAGGCTTCCTAAAGGTAGCATTGGCAGGCGACATCATTAGCAAAATGGTCGATGCAATTAGGACAATGGCCAGTTTGGTGTAGAATACTTTTAGGGCCATATTCTATAGGAATATGCTGAATAATTATACAAATATACTACTGCTACTACAGAGTAAGTAGAATTACTGATTTTTTGGAAAAAAAAACCGATTCGTTTAAATCAGATTTTTTTCTTTTATCGCAAAAATCTTTTGATTTGTAACAGAATTTATTCCTCCGCAATTTAAGAAGCTTAACGTACGATGAAAAACTTGTTTTTTTAAATATTTATTATTGATCAAGTAGTAGAATACTTACGTATTTGTTGCAAATAGCTGCTCTAAACTTAATGTTGTTTCTTTACGAAGCACGAGTTGTGACTGGATTCTGTCCACACCGAATCGTTGTTTTATACCCACAAGTTCATGCGAGTGATTCGTTTATAAGTCAATATGAGATCCATTTAGTGGAGAATAGAGACAGGTAATCTAATAACGCTGTGTTTTAGACTATAGCGTGCTGTGTATTTCCCTAAGGTTTTCTGGCTTGTGGCGTTCCACATTATCGGTTTTAATTCATTTTTGCAGATATTAGACCATTTTTCTTCTTCATCATCATTGAGATTAGATTTCTTTATGATCATGGCCTCGGAGCGAAAAATTACAGTTTTTGCTTCCTTCGAATAAAAAATAATTTTATATTTTTCGAGCATATATTTTTATAAAATTCGTTTTTCGAACTCCTGACGGATTGACACTTTTCACCCTTGTATCGAAAACTACTATTTTTTGTCAATGAGAATTGTTTGCAAATTTTTACCAATCGATTAAAGCGTTGACAAATATAAAAATATTGCAAGCTAATGTTTTCAAGAGGGAATCAAAACACTTGCCGACTCCTGTTCATAATAAAAATCAATGTGTCAAGCTCTGGAAACTCTTGTAAACTCTGGGCTTTACTTTATAATTTTTTTACTTAATAAAATATAAACATTATTTCAGCTTTCTTACAAAGCGATATTTGCTGTAATTAGTAATTTATTGGTTCGACCATATGCAAAGTAGTAGTTCTTATATTTACCTACTTACTATGTCGAATTTGTTTTGTTAATAAAAAATTTGACTGAGAAAATCGCTGAAAACAATTATTCGCGTCTGATTTTGCAGTGTTGAACCGCTGCTTTATTATCAACTGGCAAAATACCCAATATTATAAACAAGTGTAAAAAAACTGATGTTCCAGATAAAGTGGTTATATGGGTTTTATTAAACTGATAAATCGCCGGTTTCGGTCAGTTTTAAGATGAGCTGGTGAAAATGATTTTGTACTTTTGTCTTTTTTTTACGCGGTTTTTTGAGAATGGTTTCGAATAGTCGTCAACTTTTCGAAGTAACTGTAAAATGTGATGTGTAGTGACTCTGACTTTGGTGTATTATTTTAGGAAAATAGTAGACTTTTTTGGTAAGATAACTTAATACATTTTTTTTATAATTATTTATTTTACGGCAATGGTATTAGACATAGCTAAGACCAAGTCAATTAATGGTATTTTTTTTAATTCAGTACATTTGCGTATGTATGATTACCGGGTGAAATCATACTTTTGGCTGAAATTTAGGGATTTAAGAGTATTTTTATACATATATACACGGTGTTTGGAAAGTTGAAGCTTTTCTTTTTTCGGAATTTCTTTTGCAGCAGGTATTGCAGTAGGTACACGTAGTTCTATTAATTTTTCCGAAGTGAACCATAGTAATAAATCTCTTAGTTTTCGATCTACAGAAAGTTAAAGTTGTCATTAAACAAGCTACATTTATTTATATTTATGTTTAGAAAACCGCTTGGAATATTTTAATACATTTTACAGGCTTTTAGAGCTAACAACGACACAAGGGACGTTGGATATGCTTATCCGGCACTACTTCTTTCAAAATTTCCATCGTCATTGTAAAGGTACTAAAAAAATAAACGCATCAGAAACCAACTTTCTTATCACTTTACCAGTGTCGTGGGTAAAAAATTTTCATTTCGGTGATTCAAAACTTTTGAATCACCYWGTACACAGAGGGTGTTTCCCGAATTTTTTAACGTTTAACGACAAATTACTTACCCGTAAATAAGACGATCTAAGGAAACTTCTCTATATCCAATGCGTCTTCATTTTTCCTCAAATTAATATCGTTTTTCCAAATAATATCTAAACGCTTTTATCGATTTTCACAAATTTTAGAATCAACACTTTACATAAATTGGCGTGATTAACATGGCATTGCTTTTTTTAATGCGTGAAAATATTAAGAATGACTCTTGGTTCGTTAATAATTCTTCGTATTTTTGTTATCTCCTGTGCAAATCATTTACATTTTTTCTACTACTAGCTGATTTTATTTTAACCTCTTGTATCTCCTTTATAGCCTCTTTCTACCTTCTAATTGGATTCGATTTTTATTTTTTGCATTTACAAATACATTAATTTCTTCGAAGTTTTTTATTTAAAAAACGGACTTAAACATAAAAATTCTGTATTTTCTGCACATTTGCGCTTACGGAGTAACTTATCAATATCRAATTATTTAAGTTTAACACATTAAGATTTTAATTTTTTTTAGAAAATCTAGACTTCAGCTCAGTATCCCAAGCTGAACCCTTTAGTCAACTGTTACGCTTTTTGTTAATGTTTGTTCTAATTGCTATCTCGAATTATATTTCTTTGATATTTCGTCAATTTGTCTCGCAATATATTAAAACGTTTTCTGGTCCGGAATTTGGGCGCACTTTACAGTTACTGCTCTATTTATCGTAAACCCTTTTGTACGAGTATGAGGTATTTAAGAATTAATTCTTAAATATAATAAAACAACAGGGCAGAAATACCGATTGGGTATATAACCTTTTTCTGTAGGAAATAAAGATTATTTATATACATATATATAAAACAACATTTGTATTACCACAAAAGGTTTTCTTGTTAGGAAGCCGCCAGGTAACTTCCCAAGTTATAGTAAAAAAATTAGATTGCTAATTGTACCAACAAATAAGGTGAAATAAAACTAGTTCAGTTTAGTTGAACTAAAGTCACTTTATTATAACAAATATACTAAGAATCTGCGGTAGCCAACATACAATTTGCTTGATTGAGTCGGAAATTACCACATGAACAAGTAACGTGATCCGTATTTTGCTGGTGGCTTCTCTACATCCTCTGGAAGTCCAGGAGTTGCGTCTGGATAAACAGCCGGACCCTCCACTGGGGGCTTTGGACGAGCTGTTTGATGAACATGCACCCTGCCGAAGTAGTCGAAAGGTGGCCTATCAAGGCCCAGGTTGTCTTTTACGCATTTGTCGAAAACGGCCTGCGTCTTCCTGCATCTGAAAATAGAAAATTAACATTAATATCGACAGATATTAATTAAACAGAAGATCACTTCTAGAATACAACTAGGTATACATAGATATGTACAACTGCTAAGGAGGTACATATCACTACATATATGTTGTAGAATTAGCTATTGTCTTTCAATTCGGTTTTACTTTTGACATTTGCATTGCATTTTGATATTTCTTTGTGGTTCTCCACCCGGCTTTGTTCACTTTGGGTCTTATACAAACTTACAATTTAGATTATTGATACCTACGGTATTAACTTCTGATCAGGGCTAGATTTATCAAGACAGTAGGCATACTGGGTGAATTCGTCAGCACAAGTTCTCTTAATTTGCCGAAAAAAATTAAGCGAGCAGTTAGTAACGGCCTTGCCCTCGTTCAGACATTGTCGGGGATCTTTTAATTCTTTGCGACATAACATGAATTCCTAAAAATCATTTACAAAATTGTTTTGAAAAATGATTAGGTAACACTTAACCTTACATTATTTTCATACTCGCAAGTTTTTCCCAAATGAAAAGCTCCTGCTTTCAAAAGTGGGCCTGATATATTCACTTCTTGGACCGTCAATTCTTCATCGGTGGGTAATATTGTTTCGTCTGTGATGGTCATTTTTTAATTTGAATAGAAAATTTTTCCGTAGGAGAATCAATGGCCTTGGCCCACTGTTGCCAACATATTTTTAACGCTTCATTAGTCTGATCGATATTGCTTTCGTCGATAATACTCGCGTCTAGCGGTAGCCCAGATATTTAACATGCAAGGACGTTGACAGCTCTGTCCCGGAGAATGGCGCGCAGTTTGAAAATTTACATTGAGGGCAGTGAAGTATTTTTGTAAAAGTTTAAGGACTAAAATTTCTCTTTCCAATACTATTTAGGAAACTTAATGTAATTTATTTAAATATGGTCCTTCAATTTATTTTACAAAGATACTTAACGGCCATTTACCGGGGCCAGAGTTGTCAAGATTCACGCCTACGAAATTGGGGCTACCGTTAGTCACGAGTGTCGATAATTTGAATTTTTTTGAAATTTCTTGGAATATGGCAACTGTGCTGGTGACCGAAAAGCAAAATTAGACAACCGAGTAAAATATATTTTATTTATTTTAGTAAAAAACAGATTGAAAGAATCCGTCCAAACCGCCATATATTTTAAGTTAAAGCTCGAGAATTTTCGTGTCATTTCGATAAACTAGTCAGTTCAATGACAATGACTGACTCA